ACTTTCTCCACTTTGAATGCCGCTAGTGTCATTCAATTGGTATTCCCTATGCAATCCAGGTTGTTTCAAATGCAAAAGTGGCATCAGTACTGAGATAATGTTTTCCGACACCAACTTTTCCGATTGGCGCCAGATCGGCAAACCTCCACTTTCTCCACTTTGAATGCCGCTAGTGTCATTCAATTGGTATTCCCTATGCAATCCAGGTTGTTTCAAATGCAAAAGTGGCATCAGTACTGAGATAATGTTTTCCGACACCAACTTTTCCGATTGGCGCCAGATCGGCAAACCTCCACTTTCTCCACTTTGAATGCCGCTAGTGTCATTCAATTGGTATTCCCTATGCAATCCAGGTTGTTTCAAATGCAAAAGTGGCATCAGTACTGAGATAATGTTTTCCGACACCAACTTTTCCGATTGGCGCCAGATCGGCAAACCTCCACTTTCTCCACTTTGAATGCCGCTAGTGTCATTCAATTGGTATTCCCTATGCAATCCAGGTTGTTTCAAATGCAAAAGTGGCATCAGTACTGAGATAATGTTTTCCGACACCAACTTTTCCGATTGGCGCCAGATCGGCAAACCTCCACTTTCTCCACTTTGAATGCCGCTAGTGTCATTCAATTGGTATTCCCTATGCAATCCAGGTTGTTTCAAATGCAAAAGTGGCATCAGTACTGAGATAATGTTTTCCGACACCAACTTTTCCGATTGCCACCACATCGGCAAACCTCCACTTTCTCCACTTTGAATGCCGCTAGTCTTATTCAATTGGTGCTCCCTATGCAATCCGGGTTGTTTCAAACGCAAAAGTGGCATCAGTACTGAGATAATGTTTTCCGACACCAACTTTTCCGATTGGCGCCACAGGGGCAAACACCCACTTTCTCCACTCTGCAAACCACCAGTGTCAGTTGATCGGTATTTCCCACCCACTGTAAGTGGTTTGAGGTGCAAAAGTAGCATGAGTCTGAAGGAATATGTCCCGACGAAAAAGTGTACAAGAGTTGTCACAGGAAAGAAAGTGCGCATGTGTGTACTGGACGATGGACGAAGTAGCTGTGATCGCGGGGCTGAAAGGTGTAAGGACTCAGGTAGTGCAGTATCACAGTCAGGCAGTATGTCGCCTCAAGCGTCACCTTGTAGCTGCACTATTTGGTGACTCAACGCCCTATATCGTTATCTGTCATGGGCTCGTGCATCAACTCTACTCTCCCCCTTACCGGCAGTGGGTTTCCAACAACTCTGGCTTTGGAGGTTCTTCTCTTTGGATAAGCTCTCGCGACCGGTTTTCCTCCTCGACGTGGTCCCTGCACGGACTCTGCAAGATTAGAGGACCGCTGAGAAAGTCTCACCGCACCATATCTCCGCAGATTTGGTTTGGAATCACCCGTTGCACTTCTAACACCTTAAAACCCTCATACGAACAGATGACCCGCGGATCAGCCAGAGCCAGATGATGCCCGGTGGTCATTTGCTCCACACCGCTGCGCTGACTGCAATAACTCGAGCCTTGTGTTGTTGAGGTGCCTCCGCTTGCATCGAATTGGAGACATCTAGTGCATAATCAACCAAACATGGCACGGGGAAATTGGAACGAAGGAGGTCGTCAACGACTAGGTCCTGGCGACAGGCTGCGAGAGGCGGTTGCGGGGATCGGTCCGAGAACAGGAACAGTGGCCGGCGTCCTCGGCATTGCGCTCGCAGCTGTCAACGCTGTGGGCGGGGTGATGGTACCGGGCTGGAGGTTAGTGATGTCCGAAGTCGGTGTGGGAGAAAGGTAATTCTACGTCTGCGGACACGAGAGCCCCTCCTCCAGCATGTCAGATACTTACTCAGAGAGTTCCATCCCTGCCTGAGATCAGAGCGCACCAGGTGACCATGTTGTCCCATCGTTTCTTGTACGTATTGGACTCGAGTGCCGCCTTACCGTATGCGCCAAGAAGGGCCCCGTCTTTGGGGTCGGTGATGACCATGCCAAGTGTATCGACATTGAGCGTAGACTTCGACATGTCCAACACCGTGGGGTCAAGCAGACGGAACCTTACCGGGCCTTCGGCAAACCTCGAGTTGCTCGTTACAAGGGCCTTGGGGATGGGGATCACGATCGCTCCGATCTCGAAGGAACTTTTCTTGACCTTGGCGGCCACGGCGTCTATCGTCGCCTCATGACTTGTGAGCTCGTTGAAGTGGTTCTTTGAGTCGATGCGACCCTGTTGTTAGCAAGAGCTTCAGTCACCGAGCTTCACTCACTTGCCTAGTTCCTTCTACAAGTGACGTCCAGATCTCGACCTGCTGAGCAGTTAGGGCCTGCAAACTGTCAGCGAGCCACTCATAGATGAATCTGAACGAGGTGGGACTTACATCATTGCAGACCCTCGAGCACGCTTCGAACGGGAGGAGTGTGACGTACGCTCCCTCGGCATCTCGATGGCCTTCGGCAGAGATGGCGTCGAGCTCGCCCGTCTCAAGCTGGCTGGACCGGTGGCGTTTGCTTCGCCCTCCCTGGCGGAAGACGTTGGGATCAGTTGGAGGCTGGCGCGGCGCAGGCCTCTGTGGGGCGGTCGCTCTTCACCGGCAGAAGTCTGCTCCGGTCTGGTGAGCTTATGCCGGTGTGGACTTGCACTCGCGCCGGATGCTTGCTGGCGAAGCACCGCCTCGAAGTGCCCTTTCGTGCGCTCCACCCAAGGGGGCATACCACGGAGCAGGATCTCAGGTATGTCACCTGTCGAGTCAGAGGTGGACGATGAGCCCTGAGACGCCTGCGGAGTGTCTTCCTCCGCCCACTTGGATCCTCCGTACAAGTTCGTGTTGCTACTGGCCACTGAAAAGGCGAACGGGGTGTTCGGAATTGTCGTGTCGAGAGGCAGCAGCGGCGCATGAAAGAGCAGGTTGACGGGCGGCGGGAGGCCGTGTGAAGCGGGCCAGACGTCGAAGGTCGATGGGAAGAGCGTAGTGCCGGCACCGCGGCTGGAGGATGCACCAGCCCCATTTGCGTCAGGCGCCCCCACTTTCTGAGAGCATCAGCACCGGTGAATATGAGGGGGAAGGTCAGTGGAAAACGAGCAAGTTTACTCACTACCCTTTTGGCTGGGCGTGGAGGTGAGAGCTGGATAAGGGGCGGCGGTGATTGTTCGGCGGGTGGCGGCGATTGCTCGACGGGGGAGAGGGTGGGGGTAAAGGAGTGTCGGCGCTTACTCGGGCGCGCAGGTGTGGACGGCATAGTTGAGCAGAGTGTTAAGTGTGCAATTAGGGAGCGTATGTAGAAGATTTCTATGAACAAGAAAGCAGTGATGGAGAAGAGTTGATGATCAGGAAGGCAAACGATGGGGAGGGAACAGGGACACACAAAGCCTCGACGTCGAGTGGCGGAAGCATCCTCGAGACGTGCGTGTAGCACAGCTGCGCATGACCGCTAGCAGCAGGGCGCAAGGCGCAAGGCGCAGCCTGCAGGCTCTTCCCCAACAACCAAGCTCATTTTACTCACAGCATCCTATCCTCTAGGGGGATGGAATGCGTACTTACAACTCTTTTGAGCCAGGCGGCGAAGCTGGGCATCGGTGAGCTGGCTGTTCAAGTGTGGCTCGGTTGTCACGTCCAAACTCACTGAATGGGCCGACTACGGTGCCACTGCTATCATCCTCAATCCCAAAACGCCCCTCCCTCTCCAAATCAGTCTTACAGAGCTGTCGAAGCGTGAGTCGACCGAACTGCTCAACGATGGACACTCACGGGCTCTGGCACAGCAACTGTCCTCGTAGCATCCCTCACAACGCTGCACCACAGCAGCCACTGGTCCCAATACCCCTGTTGGATCTTCCCCTCGAGGTTCCAGCGCCCGAAGGCGAACAGGAAATGCCCATTGATGGAATCCATCGCGATGACGAGCAGGGCGTCAGGGTTGAACAATGATCCGCCCAACGGAGACAAGGGATCGATGAGCTTGAGCTTGACCTCCGAGCTCTCTCGTTTCTTGAGCTTCGCGATGTCTCCTCGGGGGAATGGAACGTGCACGATGTTGTGACTCGGGGAAGACTGGCCCATGAGATGAGCGACGCGAGCCATCAGCGGCCCCGAGGTGCTAAATTTGTGTTCTGCCGACTTCATGTCGACGTGAGCCTTTCATTAGCGGGAGCTGTCCAGCCCTACTTACAGTTCGTGTGCCCATCACAAAAGATCGATAGATCGCGCGTTGGGTGGCGCTGACCTCCTGACTATCAGCGAGTCTTCACGTGAGGAAGAGACAGTCAACTCACGATGTTCGCTCCTCCAGGCTCGTCTCGACCTGCCGTCACGTCCGATTGCACACTCGTCGGTGCACCGAGGGGATTGATCTTTTCCCAGACCGCTACTCGGGTGCTGAGGCGGGACCGACTCCACGACGCTCTTCCGGATCGGGGTCCATGACTTTCGCAGGAAACGGTTTGCCACCGCGGCGCCTCCACCGTTCTTGCTCGACATGGACGTCTTGCCCGCCTCGTCCTCCTCCTTCGCCTGGTCCGGCTGTCCCTCGTTGATGCCGTCTCTGCCCGTGAACTTGGCCTGCACGTGGTTTGCGGGCACATGGTGGTCCACAGCCGTGGCTGGCATTGCTCGCTCGGGGACAGGAGCGGGAGCGAGTTAATTCGTGTACGACACCGTTGCAGAAGCGGCAGAGGCTCGGCCGCGTTTGCGCTTCAGGAGCTTGCGCTCGATCCGAGCCATAAGAGGGGCGATGTCGGTCAGCAGGGCATCGTCCGACTCCGAGTCGGAGACGAAGTCAGACGACTGCTCGACACCCAACGCGCCGGTGACCGTGGCGGCCGTATCAGCAGTGCCTGGAATCGCAGCCAAGCTGGGGGTACCAGCACTCGTCGTCGCGTCCGATTCGGGCAGGTTGTCTTGCTGCGCGATGCCACGGTCGTGGACGAGGGTCACGCTGGAGCTTGAGCCAGACGCTACCTCCGTAGTCAACGTCTCATCGAGATCCTGCGAACGGTCGTCGTGCATCAGAAGCAATGCCCCATTGTCCGACTGAAGGTCCATGTCGTGGAAGACGACAGTTTGATTCGCGCCCCAGCGGACTCGGCGCTGAGGGTATCAGCACAGAGAAAACGACGAGATCGGTTGGTCGAGTACAGCAAGAAAGCTTCAAAGCAACTATACTCACAGGCTTCTTGGTGACGGGCGGCGTGTCCAGGTCGATCAAGGGCGGGTCGGCCTCGAGAAAATCTACGTCCAGCGAGAGCTTCCGTTTGGCCGATTCGGGCATTGTGTTATAGTTGACAGACAGCAGATTAAGCAAATCAAGACGGACAAAGGTGGTGTTGGATGGAAGATGTGGTGTTGAGGTGAGGTGAAAGGGGGCTCGGCATTGCGCTCGCAGCTGTCAACGCTGTGGGCGGGGTGATGGTACCGGGCTGGAGGTTAGTGATGTCCGAAGTCGGTGTGGGAGAAAGGTAATTCTACGTCTGCGGACACGAGAGCCCCTCCTCCAGCATGTCAGATACTTACTCAGAGAGTTCCATCCCTGCCTGAGATCAGAGCGCACCAGGTGACCATGTTGTCCCATCGTTTCTTGTACGTATTGGACTCGAGTGCCGCCTTACCGTATGCGCCAAGAAGGGCCCCGTCTTTGGGGTCGGTGATGACCATGCCAAGTGTATCGACATTGAGCGTAGACTTCGACATGTCCAACACCGTGGGGTCAAGCAGACGGAACCTTACCGGGCCTTCGGCAAACCTCGAGTTGCTCGTTACAAGGGCCTTGGGGATGGGGATCACGATCGCTCCGATCTCGAAGGAACTTTTCTTGACCTTGGCGGCCACGGCGTCTATCGTCGCCTCATGACTTGTGAGCTCGTTGAAGTGGTTCTTTGAGTCGATGCGACCCTGTTGTTAGCAAGAGCTTCAGTCACCGAGCTTCACTCACTTGCCTAGTTCCTTCTACAAGTGACGTCCAGATCTCGACCTGCTGAGCAGTCAGGAGCGACTAGAACTGCGGCCGGGGCCGGGAACGAGATCGGAATCTGGACCGGGGCTGGGGCGATAGGCACTGTCGGCTGGATGTCAGTCACCGCTGGGTGGCTCGGCTGAACTGAACGAAGTTTTGGCTGGGGGAAGGTAGCTCCGTGCTGCCTCAGGTATACACCAAAGATTCCTCCGCTCTCCCGAAGATATGTCACTCACCGTTGCGGATTCCGGTTGACTCTCGCGCGACGGGCGAGGCCGCACCATTCAAGGCAGTTAAGCTACTGCTTCCTTCCAGTAGTGTTCGCAAGGAAGGAGCGGACAGAGACGGTGAACAAGTACGCGCCAGTGACGGGGTGCGAGGCAACGAGGCAGACCTCTTCGGGATGAAGGCGGGAGATCGTGATGTCAGGAGTTCTGGCGTCTACGAGTCGTAGATGCACTCGGAAGTCTGTCTCGATTAGAAACTTGTCAACTGCTCGCCGGGGAAATGGTACGGAGATGGATCCTAGTTCCAGTTTCTCTAGCGCTTCACGGAGATGATCAAAGATCGACGGGTGAGCCGTGATCTTGTAGGCCTCTGATGCCAGGCGGCTCGTCCTCGATCACTCGGGAGAAGGCGAGTGCCTGGTGTTGATGCACGGCCGTCTGAACGATCGTCCTGTTCTTCTCCAATCGTTCCTTGATTATTTGGAGCGTTGCCAGAGCGGGCTCGAGGTCCCGGAGGGCACCTTCGGCGATCTCGGCCAGGGGACGAACTCTGGGCGAGAGGGTGCAGTCAGGATTGGCGACTGAGCGCCCGGGGAAGCCACCATACCCCGTGCCGAGGCTGACTTGCGCTGAGAATGTCAGCACAGGTCACCTGCAGGCAGAGGTGGTGTGTTTTTAGAGAGAAACCTTACTCACCATCCATCTACTCCGAGGAGAGTCGAAAGAGATCAAAGCCGGACTTTCGGGTATCGGTGGCAAGGTCGACTCTGAAGCGGACAGTTCTCTCTTGCGATTGTCGGCGGAGGGGGTCGAAGGAGAAGACGGTATTATTGCGATAGGGATAATGTAGGACAAACGTGTTCAAGAAAGTGTAGAGCGAGCAACAGTGCTGATCTGAGCGTAAGAAGGATGGAGTGCAAACAACGGTGTTGAGAGAGTAGGGAAGACGATGTGGTGATGTAATGTGGTGAGGTGATCCGGTGGCGAGGGGTTGAACGCAAGCGGGGGCCAGCCGAGGAGTATTATCCACGCCTGCAGCCCAACCGCGCACCAAGCTGACGTGTGCTGACGTGCGCTGGCCGCAGTGAATGGGCAGGGCGCAAGGCGCAGCATGCGCGCCTGCAGGCCGTGTCGCGCCGCATGTGTTAGGTGACTGGATCCATGGACCGATCGGACCGAAGCGCTAAGCCAAGATCTGGACTGGGCCGTGGATGGGCGCAAGGGCCAGCCGCCAGCCCAAAGCTGCCACCACCAGATTCGCACTCGCGGCCTGACACCAGTGACCAACGCATGTACCCTTCGGCAAAGGCCCTCAGATGCGTCGCATCGAAGGACGTGCCCAGATTGTTGCGGCCCACTGTTTACCTCCGCGGTCGAGCGCCACATCGAAGCACTGTCACTCTCTTATGTCACCCGTCGCGACCACACCCGCGACGAACCGCGGACACTGCGGTCCCTCATTCCGCAGGTAGGCGTCACTGCTTCTGCGCCGTGAATGCGACCCATCAATAGCCTTTGCGCTTAGGGCAGAGTCGAGTATCATAAGTAAGGAATGTCAGATACGCAGCGCGCGGTCAAGACCTTCGAGCAAGAACTGGCGATACAAGCGTAATCGATCAGAGCTGCCGCGTACTATGCTGTGGGTCGAAGTCCTCTACCTCTATCTAGTGACGGCGGTCACATCCTCAATGCTTGCAGAGTGAGAGTGTGGGCGGCTCCACGCCTCCCGGTACTGAGGAGGGAGGAGGGCGTCGTCCATGTCCTCGGCACGGCGGACTTGATGGGCACTCGCCTGAACTGGGGGAGCCGTAGATTGGTTCTGCGCCGTAGCCTCGAGGTGTGGTTTCGTAGCCGCAAGAAGAGGCGAAGCTGACTCCATGCCCTCGGACCCCAGAGGACGGAAGGGTTGCGGATGCTGGGCACCGTCGATGGACTGGCGGGGAAGAGGGCCGTAAGGTATAATGATGTGAACCTCCTCCGTTTCCTCGAATTGGGAGTCATTGTTCGTAGACTGAAGGTTGCCCTTTTGCGAGGAGGGTGTTCGACGGCGACGAGCCCAGTACACTCCAGCCAGAGCCAGCAGCGCCACGCCTGCCACTGCTCCGATGACGGCACCAACGATAACTCCTGCGCCCAACTTCTTCGAAGTGTCGACGGAAGACCCTCCCGAGCTTGATGAGATGGGAGAGCCCGTAGCATCGGTCTGAGAAGGCAGGGCGCTGTCCCAGTCAGCACAAGCGTCCAGTCGTGGCACTCACTCGTCGTAGGCGTAGGTCGTGACGCCGCTAACGATGCACTGCACCCCCATGCTTCCGACGACGAGCTTGTACTTGACGGCGGGATCTGTGGGGAGGAAGAAGAGAGTCTGGCCCGCCCGATGCGCCGGTTTCGTGGGGTACGCCAAGGGTATCACGTTGTTCCACCACCACGGCTCAGGCTCGAGGCGGGCGTAGCAGCCCCCGAGCTCGTAGAAGACCGGCCCCGTCACATTGACAATGGAAGTGTTTGAGGGCACGTCGTATGTCATCTCTGTCCAGTCCAGGAGCTCGAGGGCGTCTTCGCCTATCTTCCATTCGGCAGGTGCGGCGGGTAAGCTGCCCTCTACCTTTCGGTCCGGGATGAGATCCTCGTAGGCGTCCGAATCGAACTGCCGGATCGTGAACGCCTTGTTGACCTGGCCGGCGTCGATGGCACGCACTGTTTGTGCTCGATCTCTGAGAGCCTGTTCGTTCGGACTGGCGCAGTCAGTACCTGGCTCTGACGGCTTTCTGTGATACTCACGCACTGGCGAGCACAGGCACCTCGATGACGACGTAACTAATCGTCACCGTTGTGTTGGCCTTAGGCAGCATGCGAAGGGTGTACGTCCCGAGCTCGATGTTGTTCGGATTCGCCAGTGGTCCCACATCCGGAAACGGCTCCAGGAGCGACCACCTCGTGAACCAGTCTCCAGTCCCCAGTCCGCGTCGGTACACATAGCTGAAATTCCCCGCGGTCCTCGTCGTCTCTGCCGGGGCGAGATCCTCGACAATGCCAAACGGTTCAAACCGCGTCCCCGTCATTCTAAGGATGTTGGGCCCGCCGAACGTGGACGTGTTCCACGTCTTCGCTGTGCCCGTAATGGCGCCAGTGGCCGAGTTCATGTCCCAGTTGATGTCGGTGTCGATCATGAAGGGCGACCAGCCGGTGACGTTGAGAATGATCGAGAACGCCGGGCGCGAAATGTCGGCACCGGCTACGAGACTCGCGAGTCCTAAGACAGTGAAGACGGCCGCCCATAATGCCATCATGGTCTCGCTTCGAATGCTCTCTTGCGAGACGGTTACTGTGGTGGAGGAGTAGTGTTGATGGAGGAGTGCAGAGATAGCGCGCTGTAGATCAGCGTGCAAGCTCCCGGGAGAGCGACGGGTCTGTGCCGAAGGCGTGCTTCTCCAGCCTCAGCCGTAGTTGAGCTGGCCTGTGCGTACGTTAACTAAGGGCACGGTGCCTCCTTGCGGTGGAGGGAACAGCCGACAGGTCCGCCCGCTCGGTGCCCGGTGGATCGGTGCTCGGTGCCCCCCAGCCACCGAGAGAGCGCCGCGCACTTCAATCGCGGGACACGGCCAGTATGCCACCATCCAGCCGGCGACCATCAGCCCAGTTTCTCTCGCGTGAGCAGGCAGATATTGGCCTTTGGATAGACACGCAATGCAGTAGGCTTTGAGAGCTCAGAGCACATAAGTGCAGGCAAGACGGCTCCTAGGTAAGCGCACCGATGCCTTAGATAAGGATTCAAGACGACGGAGGGACGTTGCACGGGCCACTGGGTCGGCGCTTCGAATCCCGGCCCCAACTGCCTGAGCAGGTTGCCCGCTAAGGCCACACGCAGCTCCACGGCAAACGAGAGTGCTGTTGCCCGGCGCAGTGGGTGAGTGAGTGGGTGAGTGAGCGAGCGAGCGAGTCAATAAGCGAGTGAGTGAGTGAGCGAGCGAGTCAGTGGGCGAGTGAGCGAGTGAGTCAGTGAGTCAGTGAGTGAGCGAGCGAGTCAGTGAGTCAGCGATTGAGCAAGCGAGTCAGTGAGTGAATCAGTGAGTGAGTCAGCGAGCGAGTCAGGTCAGTGAGTGAGCGAGCGAGACAGTGAGCGAGGACTCGATACGGCCACTCACCAGCATCATGTTGCTCGCGACTTGAGTTGTGCCCAGTATTCCAAAAGTTGGTTTCCATAAATCTTACATGATTAAGAGTGTCGAGGGAGAAAAAGCTCCTGCTGCTGCTGATAGTGGTACACGATGAGATAGAGACTATGTAAGTGTCCTTGGTGTGAGGTCCGGAATCGTATGACAGGTCGGGATGTCGTGACATTGTTTCGCGATGACAGGTTGAGGACAGGGCGAGGACAGGTGGTCGAGGACAAGTGGTTGAGGACAGGTGGTCTGGGACAGTTGGTCTTGGTCGATGGAGATGACGCGGGCGGGGATGTGGTTGATGCAGGAGGGACCGTGGTCGTCGGGCCGGGAGTCACGACTGGGGGGGGAGGCAGCCAGCGAGCGCAGGCGAAGCACATGAGTAACCAGACAGAGCCTACTTCTTCCTCTGACTCAGCAGTCCGCCCAACAGGCCCGCAATGATGGCCACGCCCACAATACAGAACAGCACGATAAGCAGCGCCGTCCGCTTATTCCGTCGTGGCGTCTTGGCCGCGCAGCCGGGCAGGAGACCCTGCTCGTACTCCTCCCATGTCTTCTCCCCATGCCCAGTGCGGAGGTTGCGCAGGGGCTGTCTCCAGCTCGCGAGCGACCAGCTGCTCCCCCCTCCCCCTCCTCCTCCTCCGCCCGCGCCGCCCCAACCACCTCCGCCGAAGCCGGCGCCGCCCGTCGCGTGGTATTCCCGCGGCAGGGGGCGATAGGGCACCGCAACGCTTGGGGGGAGACAGGCCTGGGCGCACACTTCTCCGTCGTGAGGCGGGGCGCGGGCTGGGCGGGGCGCGACGGCCAGTTCCGGGAAGACGATGACGCCCCGTGCCCTCCCCCTCGGCGAGCTCTGAGAGGCCGTGCTGATTGCTGCTGATAGCGCGGCGGCGCGGCGTGACGCTGCTGCGCTCGCTTGCGTCCTCAATGTCGAAGAGCTGGTTGACGGGGTCGTCGTCGTCGGCCATGAGCCCTTGTTGGGAGAGCGTGGGCGAGTCGGAGCCACTCCCTTGCCCTTGCAGGAAGCGCCGCTGCATCCGGCGGCGGAAGGAGGAGCGCGCGCTGACGTTGCTCTTGCGCTGCGAGGTGCTGTGGGACGTGCTCGTCGACTTCTCGCTAAGCCGCCGATGAGGGCTGTCGCTGGACGTCGCGCTCCGGTGTTTCCGCCGCTTGCTTGTTGTTGAGAGGCGCGTGCTCATCGACCACCGATTCACGAAGGACTTTGTCGTCATGAGAGACGCACGCTTGCCCGCCTGCAGCATCCGCTCCACCGCTGCTGCCCGCGCGGCCAGGGCGAAAAGCTCGCTGTCCACCTCGTCCTCCTCGCCTGGCAGGGGTGGCATTGGCTTCTCACGCCCGTTCCGCCGGCTGCTCTTAACAGACCGGAGGCTGCGGGGCGTTGCCGAGTCGCGCTTACCCCAGGGGATCGGGGGACCGAGACCGAACCGGCTGCCGTCATCCGACAGAGGACCTGGTGGGCGGAGGCTGCCCGAGTCGTTCAGGTCCGAGTGCGCGCCGTACGGCGACCCGCCAAACGTGATAATGCCGCTGAGCTCCGAGCCCGTGCCGCTCATGCCACTGATGCGGCGGCCGCCGTACGCCATGCTCGGGACGGAGAGCCGATTCCCGCCGCTGCTCGGCACATTCGGCGACGAGTATGTCGACACACCCCCGCCCCTAGCGGGGGTGGACACCTCGGTCGGGTCGACGTCGAGGAACGAGTACCGCCGCAGATCGATCGCGCTCGCCGGGTTGTAGCTCGGTGTCGTCACTGCTTGGCTGATCCCCTCCAGGTCCGGCGTCACAGGCACGTCGGCTGGCGGCAACGGCGACCGTGTCCGGTGCGACTGCTGGCTGTGTCCTGCCTGGCTGCTCATCGCCGCGAGCTGGCTGCTCGTCTCGGCTCCGCTAGAGCTGTCCGCTGCCGGCTCGACGCTGCGCGGACTCGAGCTGCTCTCAGAGTACACCATTGACGAGAGCAAGCTCGCCACTTCCGGTAGTGGCGGGATCGGACTGAAGCGGCCGGGCTGGTATGGTCGTCCCGGTACTGGCGGGTTCTGGCTGATGCGCTGCTTGCGGGCATGCTCGATCGCGGCCTCGGAATGTCCTGCCGTGGATGCGTGCTGCCACGAGGACCGTTGCCAGGATGAGCGCTGCGACTGCGTGCCGCCCGACAGCGGGATCGACTCGACGCTCCGGTGCATCGTCTCGGGGTCGTGCCGCGCGAGCGGGATAGATTCTGTTGACCGCAGCGGATCAGAGTCGAGGTCGCTGTCGCTGGATCGTAGCCGTGGAGACGGCACCCGTGGCTGGTCGGGCATGAGGCCCTGGGCGAGCATCGTGTTTGTTGTCGGCGTGTGCAGGCCAAACGTGTCCTGCGGCGAGTAGTCTGCCGTCTGGCCCGGTGACGGTGACCTCGTACGCCCCCAGTTGGGCGAGTAGGCAGGTGACGGCGGCATCAGCGGCGACGTCAGACTGTGGTCAGAGAATCCCGGTGAGATGGGCGAGAGCTGGTTGTGGCTACTGCTGTATCGCGAGTCGCGGACATTGGGGTGCGACTGGGACGAGCCAAACCGCGAGCTCTCGGGCTGGTTCTGGTGCGACTGGGACGAGCCATACCGTGAGTCGAGCGTGCGGGGCTGGGACTGGAAAGAGGAGCGCCGCGAGTAAGAAGACGGGCGCGAGCCCCCGGTGCCATCCGACATAGCGGTGGCGGCGTCTGGAGAGGCGGCGGGTGCTGGTCTGCAGTGATGACGGTTGCTGTGCGCTTCTCAAGTAGGAATGGAGTAAACCAGAGCTCGAGGCGATGCGGTTGCGGGGACGGTAATCTCAGTGTTTGCTCATGAATGAACGCCGGGGTGGATCAGTGTTGTTTGGGTGTTTGCGTTGCGATGGGAATCGAATTCGGATGCGGACTGCGACTTGCGGGCCGGAATGAATGCGAAGAGCCAGGGCGGCTCGGTCGAAGGGCCGGGCGATACGGAAACAGCGAGGGCGAAGCAATGGAAGTATTGGAAGAGACAAAGTGTCTTGGGAAGGTGCTCGAGTGGTAGAAGTGTGGAGCGGGCGGCGACGGATGCTGCGTAAGGTCACGCCAGCCGTTGCAGTGCGGGGGCGGTGGGAGTAGAGTTGAGCAAGGAGTAAGTTTGGGTTGAACGAGTGTGTTAGGTGAGGGCCTGAGTTGGAGCAAGGAGGCCGTCGAAGGATTGCTTGTGGTTTCGTTGCGTTGTGCGTGCGTGGGTGTGTCTCGTCGAGGTCAAGAGTCCGAGTCTAGGTCTAGGTCTTTGAACTGGCGCAGGCGCAGAAGGGCGGATGCGGCGGATTATAAGGAGGCAAACGTAATACTGTCTAAGGAGAGTGGGGTCGTCGCTGCGAAGGTGGAAGAGGCGAGAGCCGAGTGGGTATCGGTGTGTGAGAGTCGGGCGTGGTGGTGGTGGAGTGGTAAACACGGATTAAAGATTCAGCGAGATGTGCGAGGTGTTGGAGAGTAAGCAGTGAGGAGCGAGAGAAGAACGAATGGAAGAGTGGTCTGTGGATGTGGATGCTCGAGCGGGAAGCGTGGACCTGGGTTACCTGGGCCGTACCAACCTACGCGCTTGAAGTGGTTGAGTGCTCGAGTGCTTGTTGCTTGTTGCGGGGTGGGGCCGACGACCACCGCCGCTGGCTGGGAGGGTCGGGGTCCCTGAACAGGGCTCGGGGCAGGGCTCAAGGGCGGTCAAGGGACATGGCGCATTCAGAACAAGTCAATGTTTACCCGCGACTAAGCCACTGCCGTGTAGGCTCCTCCTGATTCCGTCCATCCACTGACATCCATGCCGCCTGACGTCTGCCAACTACTCTGATGCAAGTGCTGGGACACCACTGCCTCCGAAGCGTCCGAGCCTGCTATACCGGTGGTGATACCCAGTTGATGCCGGGGGTGCATCCCCTGGTTGCGCGTTTTGGCCATGGCTTCTCTCGATCCTCACGCTGCTGCTATGAACTGCACGTTACCAAGCTACATACGCTACGGCAGCGACGCGACGCGCGACCCAGCGCGCATCAGGGGTCCTCGTCGGGGTACCTCTGGCCGTGTCGGAAGCTCTCCACCTTGGTACTCGTGGACGACACAAGGGGGACACTTTACTGGGCATTAGTCTGCTAGTCTGCTTCGGATTCAATCTCGCTCTTGTGCGGGGCGGACTCCAGCAAAGGCGAGTGACCCACCAGAGGATCCAACGGGCAGACACCGAGAGAAGGGAGGATGAGGGCGAGGACGATCTCGCCTCTGGAGGGGCTGAGACCGAGAACACGATGCACGGGCGGCCATGCGCATGCCGCTCTCTCTGCCCTGTCGCTGTCCTCGCCGAGCAGTGCAAAGGCCCAAGGACGAACGGGGGCGAGCATCAAACAGGCTTGCACGCTACCCAGGCTAGCCAACAAGCAAGGATGCGAGTTGAAGGAGCCATCAGAGACAGATTCCGTTATTGACAGGTCCCTCGCGTCCCGCCCGGCAGACCATTCAGCCGGGTCCCTTATGCTGAATACCCTTGGATCAGGTTTAACGCACCGGCTAGCCCGTTTCACAAACATGGCTGCAGGTTTTAGCGCCGACGCGCCCGCTCTCATTCATGATAGATTGATAAAACAGATAGCCCGTGCAGCAGGCAGGCGGGCAGGACACTCAGAGAGGCACTCGAATTGCAACCAGCCTGGCCCATTGCATCGGGACATTCAGCTATTCATGCCCACGTACGGCGAGCTGGATGATGGAGAGCGCGTCGCGTGGTTTTCATTGTTGCGGATGCATCTCCCTCTCGCTCAGTAGCCTCAGTGACCAGAAGATGAAGAGATAATCGTCATTCATTAAACAAGTCTAGTTACGGCGTATCCTAACACCATCATGATCTCCGTGCGACCAGCGCTGGAATGGCGCAGCTGGAGGGACCGTGACACCCCTCGGCAACGACTACAGCTCACTCGCCACCCCCTCCATCACTCCAACGTAGGCTGCACCCTCGCCGTCTCCTCCTCGATGACCCTTCGTCCCTCATCAGTGAGCACGGGGCGGCCGTCGTCGTACTCGGCCTCAAAAAAGCGGGGCTCGTGTCTGTATGTCAGCCAAACGCTTCGGGCAGCTGCCTCCTTCCTCTACGCATCCTGTCTCTGCTCCGGAAGTCTCGCTCGCATCACGAGCGGCTCTTGTCACTCGCGCAATCGCTTCGCGTGCTGCCGGCACGCAGACGGGGATGAAACTCGAGTCCGCCGGAATCGAACCCCGGGTGGAAAGAGGTCCAGGAGGCCAGTTTCACCACCTGAACTCTAATCGCTGGAATCCGGCTTCCACCCGGCATCCCACTCCCACTTCTCCTGTCGGCACACGGCATCGATTCCGGCTTCCGTATCGTTTCCGATCACCTACTGCACTCTGCAGCAAGATCACCGCATGCCGCAGGGCAGAGTTGGCAGTGCTTAAAGGATGTCGGACAAAGGTGAGAGGTGAGGGCGACACGAAACGCCAGCACAGGGCACCAGAGCGGCGCCGATTAGGGATCGTCCTGCTGCCCGTGGCGTCGGGCGTCCGGCGTCATGGCGCCAACAGTGCCGAGGATAACCCCGCCGGCACCTTGGAACGCCATCGGCGGCAGCGGGTTGATGGAACGCAGGCAAGCCCGTTCCTCGGTGACATCCCACTCCCCTATTGCCGATGGCCTCGAGTCACCCACGATGCGGTGACAGCCGCCGGCTCCATTCCACACAGCAACCACAGCTCTTCCTCCAGCTCCACAGAAAGTTGTTGTACTCACGTCTCGCCCTTCGCCTTCATAGCCGCCGCCTTATCACGCTGTCGCTGCTCGATGACCTGCTTCTGTTTTGTCGCCTCGCCCCAGTTCTTCGCAATCAGATTGCTCGTCACGGGATCCCAGAGCTTGCGGCTTTCTTGGGCATCTTGCTCAGAGAGTGGCCGAACAAGCTTCGGGATTAACGCAAGTTCGTCGAGATTCAGCAGGATCTTCCACTCCTGTTCGTCAGCTCTAGTTCCGATGTCGCTGGAGCTGGGACTGGTCAGAGGTGACTCACCTTCTCCCCTTTCATCCTGTACTTGATCTGGCGCATCCAGTTGCCTTCGAGGTGCGCGACGACCTTATCGCTCGGCACAGACTTGATCTTCTTGTACTCCTCGCCCTCTTCCTCAGTGGAGCGATAGATGACGCCCTCGAGCGCGAAGCGCGGCTTGCCTAGCCAGCTCTCCTCTTTGTACTCGATCAGCGTGCGGAGTTTTGTCTTCTCCTCGCCACCGCGCACAGTCACGCTGACGACATCGCTCATAGTGCCGTAGTAGCTTCCCTTCAGGATGCCGTTCACCTGCGCGTCGGGGTGCGTGATCTGGTACTCCTCCCCTTGTCCAGGGCCGGGACGGGTGATCCGAATGAAGATGCCCTTGTTCTGAGGTCCGGGGCCGAGGCGGATTGCTGTGGTTCAGCTATCTTAACTTGCGACCATCAGAAGCTTAGACGTACAAGGGAAGGAAACCTTGGCAACAATCTGGTCAACGCCAACAGCCTCGATGCCCTTCTCTGGACATCCGTAGTAATACGTTGAGACTGGGGGATGATGGCTGGTTTGCTCGCAAAGGAAGACAACTGTCGTCTTCTCGCTGTCCTTCACGCCCGCATCTGGTTCGCGAGGAAGGATCTCGTCGCCAGGTCCCGGGATAGCCTGGCGAAGGGCGCTCATGTCGAAGCTAGCCTGGCTCGGTGCCGTCAGCTTGTCCTTGCGGGCCATGAGCCCCGGCGAGCTCTTAAGGGACGAGACCTCGGAGCTGAAGCCTCCGTTCTCCGGCGCGAGCACTGGTGTTGACCAGCCCGAGCCACCTTGCCCTCCGTAAGCCGGCTCGTTCGGTAGCGGTACGTGGATGTGGGTGCGCACGATGGGCTCGCCGCGCTTGTCAAGGTGTAAAGGTGGCACGCGCCACGCGCAGCGGAAGTGCTCGCCCAGCGCAGAGTTGTAAGGCTTGCCGAGGCGCGCGCGCACAAATTTGAGGTCCTTCGAGAACAGGAATCGCAGCACGCCCAGCATCCGTCCGAACTCGTCGTCGGCGTCGCCGATCCTGTTCGTCAGCTTGAACGACGTCGGAGAAGCTTCAGGCGGTCATGTCCGAGGCATTCCTGCGCACAGTCGCCCCTTTCGTTCCGGCTCGACACTCACGCAGCGAAGACGTCGGCTCGGTCCGCATACTGCCAGTACTCGAGATTCGGGATGGGCTCCAGCAGCGACGCGGGGAGAGAGAGACGGAGGGTGGCAACGTCCTTGACGCCGACGAGCCTGCTGTCAGTCTCAAGCCTAAGGGTGCAACCAGGGCGAGCGGCGCGAGGGCTTCATTGACGGTAGTCACTGCGGCTGCTTTGAATCAAGGACCAAGTTTACCGCTTGACACCATTGGCGTGCTGCAACAGCGTTGCCGGCGGCAATGGCTCCTTTTCTGGCCGGATCAACCCACGAACGTGGAAGTCGATGTGAACATTGATCGGCGGCCGCGTCGCGGCACACCGTGACGCGTCACTCACTTCTTGAGCAGGCCCATGAGAACCTTGAGCTTGCTCTGCTCGCCGCCGTCGCCGACATCGGGAAGCGTGGCAGGCGCGCCGGCCTCGTCGACGAACGCTTGCGAGGCTAGCGGGTCAATCGGGGGAAGGGTCATGGTCGACATGGTGAAGTTGACAATGTGGGGAAGTGGTGATCGAGCAGAGTGTGGGGTGTGCACAGTTGAGAGGGGAGCGCACGGGTGAACGCAGTTGCAATAGTGCAATAGTGACAGTCCAGGCCAAGTGCGGCGGTGCGTTGTGCGCGGTGCGGCAGTGCGAGGTCAGATCGCAGGTCGCAGCAACGTGCCAAGATTTCAGACGGGTGGAGCCGAAAAGCCAAAGGAGAGGGCCAAGCGTCAGGGGTTGAGATGTGCAAGAAGTTCGAGCAGGTCAGAGGGGACAGCGTCAGCTTTATAGCAACGGGCGGAGGTGTGTGGGATGCTGGGTTGTTGCCTGGTGCACAGGACGAACGTGGTATCCGCTGTCGGCGGCGGGCAGGTACAGGCGGGCAGCGCGGCGGCGGGCAAGGAAGGCGGCAAGAGAAGTACTCACCCGGATCGTCGTCAGTGGGAATGTCGACTTTGCTGTTCTTTGCCTTGTCGCCCATGACGAACGGCGGTCAGAATAGTGAGAGAGGTGTTGTTGTTGTTGTTGTCGAGTCTTGGGTGTGTGTCGGCAGAAATGAGGGCGGCGGGGGTGTGGTCCAACAGGTACGGCGGGGGACGAGGTATGGAGAGTCGAGGGTGACTAGGGTCAAAGGGGTCACCCAAGGTGCGAAGACGCCGATTTCTCAAGGTGGTCGTCACCCCGCAGCCAGAGATCGTCAAATGAGTGTTGTTACAAGAGAAGAGGGGTACGTATCTCACGGCGCTTCGTGGTAGAACACAATCCATAAGCTATGCACTGCGGTGCATGTTTGGAGACACAGTGTGCATGCGGTGACCCACGCTCATGAGTGACACTGTGATCTCAGCGTCATGATTGTTCAAGCTCAGTGGCGAAAAGTGGGGCAACGCAAAATCCCCCTCCACCCTTATCTCACCGCCGAGGCTTTGCTGGGCACAGCGGCGCAGTCTTCGGGCCGGTAACCCGGAATGCGCAGACGAATGCGCAGCTGCATGCTGTACGGCTTTGTCTGTCGCTGTGCTCGTCGCAACAATGCATATTAGAGCCCACTACCTCAACAACCAGCGACAATAGCAGGTCGGCCAGGCAAAAGTGGAGGCTGTCGTACACGTTCCCTGCGATCCCTATCTGGCTTTAGTTCATGACACGAGTGCCTAGCCGTCCACCCCACCTGCCTTCCTCCCCAGTCTGGACCTATGACTGCCCCAAAGGGCGTGACAGGTTCTCCCGAATTCTCCTTTACACTGTGGCTAAGCAGTCCTACCCGCAATGCCTCCTCAAATGCATGTCGAAACGAGGAATGTGGGAATGAGAGTCAAATTTTTGTGAGATGGTAACGGCTGAATTCAGTGACCCGTTCCAGACACGTGCTGTCACTCCGGCAATCATCGCTCGGAGCCGCGGATTTCATCGACGCTAGAGGAGGTCGGTCAACACGTTCGCTAAGCCTTCGCTTCAGTTGTCCTAAACACCATCCCGATGTTCCTCACCGTACAGACGAATCTCTGCGGCTTGCTCTGCATCAATGACACAAGCCCATCATGGCTCTGCGAGTGTGCAATGAAAACACTGACGCAACGCCTTACTCGCTGACAAGTGCGATGCATTGACGGGTGAGCTTAGAGGGAGCTGTTGACACCGATCGGTACACAGCTCAATATTAACACTTCTCGTCGTGCAGCTCAATCCGATGACAGCCCAGGAAAATTGTATACAAATTACTGAGTATTCATGCAATGCAGTCTAAGAAAACACCTCTACACTAACGTCTCGCTCGCTCTCGCTCCGCATGAGCGCGTCTAGATGTTGACCCAGCGCCACGGCTCCTCGACGTATCGCTTCCACGTCTCCGTGAACGCAATCAGCTCCGCTCCCTCAAGCACGCGGTGGTCTCCGCTCCATCCAACGTTGCACTTGAGGACCGGCTTCGTTCCGAGTCCGGCAACCTCGTCGGGCGTCATGTCCCAGACCTTTCCGTCGCCGTTCCTTCCGTTCCGGGCAACGAGCTCGTTCTCCCAAGCCGCCCGTCCGACGGCAGCGATAGCGACACCGCCTCCGGGGGGAAGGACGGGCATGGCGCTCTTCGCCTCGCCGAGGGGTCCAACGGAGGAGATGGTGATGTTTGGCGGGGCGCTGGGGCGCGTGGCCGTCTTGCGGAGCTGCGTCAGGGCCTGGTTGATGCTGCCCACGCTGTTGCGGGGGTCGAACGGCGGGAGGGAGGGGGTGACAAGACCCGCCTTGGGGTCGGAGACGGCGATGCCGATAGCCGCGTCGTCGGCGACCTCGAGCCAGCGCTCGCCGTCGCGCTCCTTGATCCTAGAGCGCATGATGGGGTGCTCGTCGAGCGCGAGAGCCATGGCTTTGACGAGGAAGGCCAGGATGGACGTCTTCTCCCTCTCCTCGCCGTTGGCGGCCGTCGTGTTCTGGACAAGCGACGAGGGCACGTCAGACGCGAGGTACGAAGGCTTGGGCGGCTTGACGGGGTTGGCAGCCTTCATGAGCGGGAGGAGGTTGGTCAGGTCGAGGCTGTGGACGTAGCCGAAGTGAGGAACCGAACCCATGGAGCCCATGGCCTTGTACATGGCCTTACGGTTGCGGCCAAGCTCCATGCGGTGCGTCTCGCCACTCTCACGGTGCGAGGAGTAGACCGGCTGAGGGGCGGGGGCAGGGGCAGACTGGCGCGAGACAGGCTCGGCGCGAGGAGCAGGGGCAGACTCGCGGGCAGGGGCGGCCTCACGAGCAGCAGGAGCAGGGGCGGAGGAGCCGCCAGCAGCGTACTTCTCGACGTCCTCCTTCGTGACACGGCCGCCGTCACCAGTAGGCGTAACGGACTCCAGGTCAACGTTGAGCTTGTGCGCAAGCGTCCTCGTGGCCGGCGAAGCCTTGACGATGCGCTTGGAGCCGCCACCGCCCTCACGCCTGGCCTCGACGGAGTCGGGAATCTCACCACGGCTGAGAGCGGACCGCGGTCTCGTCGAGCGGGTGCGGGCGCGCGGGGCGGTGGGGCTTGGCCGCGTTGGACTGGGTCGGCTCCGGCTTGGGAGCGGGAGGAGGGGAAGGAGGGGCAGGGGCGGGGTCGCGGCGCGTAACGGGCTCGGTCTCCTTAGGCGCCGGAGGAGCCTGAGGGGCAGGCGCAGACTGCTCGGGAACCTCGACATCTTCGACCTCGCCATCGACGTCGATCTCGCACAGCGTCTGGCCGACCTTCACGACCTTGCCGGCCTCGGCGTTCAGGGATTGGATCTTGCCCGAATGCGGGGAAGTGATTTCGACGCTGGGGTCAGCTTCGTTCAGTTCGGCATATAGCTTGCACACTCGCGGGGGCCAGGCTCAGGCCCCTCGGCAAGTCCTCGACACTTACACACTCTTGTCGCTCTGAACCTCACACAGGTTGTCAAACTCCTCAACCGTGTCGCCAACGTTGACGAACCACTTGATAACCTCGACCTCGGTGATGCCTTCTCCAATGTCGTGGAGCTTGAAGTGGAAGGTAGCGGGGCGGGCGAGCGAGGCGTGGAATCCACGAACAGTGATGCCGTACGATGCTAGGCGGGCAGTGTCGTTGAGGGGGATACGGACGCGCTCCGTCTGCTGAGGAGCAGCGGGGCGGGAAACGGTGACGAGTGATCGTGACGGGCCGGCCGGGCGACGAGCCGGGAAGTCCTTCCAAGACGAGCAGCGAGGGACATGGTGATGAAGTTGGGAGAGAAAGCAGCGCCCCGCCAAGAACGTATGCTTTAAGCAGGCTCCAGCGGGCTGGCAGGGCTGGTCGAGACTGCAGGCGATGCACAAAGTCGGTGGTTGTATCATCATTGTACACTCGGCCGGAGCTTGAAGTGGTGTGCCGGCCGTGGGGCCCCCGGGCGGAGCTGGAATGCTGGCGTAGGTCCTCTGCCTGGCTGTTGGCTGGCGGCGGCAGGCAACGGACCTGGCCGATCTTCCCCTGGCTGGAAGCCCCACCACTGCCCTGTGCCGAGCCTCACCCCCCGCAGCGCCGAGACCGGAGCGCTGTGACCTGCACGATCCAGCACTCTGGTAGGCTCACAAACAGACCATGGTCCGAGAATCTGCACATGGAACTTGTATTCGACCACCTCGCGTAACCTGGCCTTCCCCAGCGCAGCCGATGTCCCGCACTATCTTATCTCGGAACCATGACTTATTTTTCATGTCAAGACTTTTGCCCCACATTCGTCCCCGATCAGTCGCACCAACAAAAGCACGACGTAAAACGCAGAGCGTGTCGCGCGTCTATCCTCATAAGGCTTACTGCTGCAGTTTACGACAAACTCTGCATCATCTGACAGACGATCTTGCCGACTTCCCTCTCGCGGCTCGTCCTCTTCCCATACTGACTCCCAATATCGACGGTGTCGACAAAAAGGAGCAGATCGTACTGACAATGGTAGACGCTGGGAAGAAGTCACTCTCACTCCTAAGCAGTGAGGAGCGGAGAGGCAACTAACAGCTCAAAGTTCACTGCTTGCACGATATCAAACTCACCCGCCTTTCCAGCGACCCTCTGACGAGCACTCTGGCCCTTCGCGTTCCTTGCCTTCTTCCCCCTGTCACTCCTGCGTCAAACGTGCCCCTTCAGCGCTCAAGTCAGTCTGATCGAGACCCGTGATCCTTCCGCTTGCGTACACCGTACGGAGCCATATATCATACATCTACTGGTGGTCTGCCCTCGCTCATTATCGCTCTACCATCTACTGTCGCATGCTATCGAGAAGCTCCATCGAGGCGACAGAGTTGCCACGGATGACCTGGAATGTCAGCTTTCACTGCCAGGAAGGACTAAGCTAATCTCGAGCGCCGGAACATCGTGACCAAGGTGGCTCGACAGGATGGAGCTGAGAGTACTCACGACCATTCCAGCGGGTTTCCGCTCGCCTCCGCCGAGCTCCTCGTACGCCTGATCAACGACGAGGTTCAGGAACATGTCGTATCCGCGCAGGACTCCCGAGACCTGCCGTCCGCCCTGGATGTGGATGAAGAGACGACGGTCCATAAATTCTGAAGTCAGCTACTATCAGAAAGTCACAGCGATTAGTGCGCCACACTTGCATTGCAGGAAAGGGCATGAGAAGCTCATAAGTTCGACAGTTCGGAACAGTCCCTTCCAGATCATTGCACGTCGTCCAGCCATGACCTAACGGGAAGCAGTGTCGGATGATGTCACTCCCAGTCATTGAGACCGCCATCACCAACCGCAACCAAATCTTCTGCGCCCAGGAGTCGTCAGAGACGTTCTCCGGGACTTTCTCGGAGTCCTAAATTCTTCTTTGACGTCCCATCATAAATGCCAAGTGCGGCGCAGCGAGAGGGATACTCACTCTTAAGCTCGGGCTGACTCGGGCGCGACATCTTGAATCTGCACTCTGTTCAACTGAGAAGCGGCGACTTTTGAGGAGAAAGTTCGATGAATCGGGGTATGTGTCGTCCGTTAGCCGTCTAGTCGATGCGAGGCGGGGTCGATGCGTGCTGTCGATGCAGAGGTGTTGTTGATCTTATCGAGGTCGTTGAGCGCGTCTTTGTGAGATGAGCAGTTGATACGTTTGCGTTTGGGTGGGAGTCACGTGGTACGTTATCAAAATTATGACGTGTCGGCAAAGCGCCCCGTACGGTGGACGACACCTCAGCCATTCCACGCCCGCCGCCCTGGCTGTGCTGGCCACGGGTTGGTGAGGAGCTAGGAGCACCTCCACCTCACCACTGCCTCACGAACGACTCTTATCTTGCTTGCTCTGCCACTGCTTCCGGATACACGACTCCATCGCCCTAATACATCTCGACAGCTTCTCCGATCGCTCCTTCCGACGGCTGTCGCTCTCTAGCCACCCTCTGATCGTTGCTTGCCCTCGAGCCTCCGACCGCCTTCCTTCCCCCGACACCTACACCTTCCCCGCCGCTCGCCGCTGAGCGCTACCTGAGCCATGTCACCCCGCGACCGCACGTCCGAGTTCCACTCGGCCCTGTCGTCCATTCGTGCGCGTACCGCTGCAGCTTCAACGCCGCGCTCGACGCCGAAGCCTGGACCGCAGCACCCGAGCGAGTTCGGGCGCATGGCGGGACAAATCGCAAAGGACATCACGCAGACGACGCACAAGTTGCAGAAGTTGGCGCAGTGTGAGTTACTCCGTGGGCAGAACTTTACAGGGTTCCTGAGCGCATCACGGCCTGTGGGCCGGTTACGCGTCTATGACCTTGCCTCTGCACGGACGTTGGCCATGGCAACAGCGCGCATAGAGCTGGTACCAGTGCACAAGGGTGACCATTTCACTGCTGTCCGCAATCGCTGCTCGCGGCCACCGGCCGCCGAGGGAAGACGCCAACATAACGCTAACATCCCAGTGGCGAAGCGCAAGACGCTGTTCGATGACCGTCCCATGGAGATTTCGGAGCTCACGTATATCATCAAGCAGGACATGTCGCACCTGAACTCGCAGATCGGGGATCTGGCGACATATACGAAGACGCACCACGACGCGCGCGGAAAGGCGGTGGAGCAGCACAACTCGAATGTGGTGACGCTGCTGCAAAGCCGGGTGAAGGAGATGGCGATGGGATTCCAGGACGTGCTCGAGCTTCGTACGCAGAACATGAAGGCGAGCCGGGATCGGACAGAGCAGTTCATGCACACGACGAGTGCCGCAGCTGTTCCCGCGCCAGCGAAGGGTGAGCTGCCTAGTACGACTGATATAGCTAATATCACAGACTCACTCCTCTTCGCTCCCGCCGGTGGACCAGGAAGCGGGCTCAAGGGCAAAACGCGGGCCGCCCCCGACGGCGGCGCAGACTTCTTAGCCCTCAACATTGACGAGCCTCAGCAGACCCAGGACTACCAGCAGATGCAGCTCATGGAGCAGCAGGACGACTTCATCCAGTCGCGGTCGAACGCGATTGAGACGATCGAGAGCACCATCTCGGAACTTGGAGGCATGTTCTCGCAACTCGCGAGCCTTGTGCAGATGCAGCGCGAACGCATCGATACGATCGACCAGAACGTCCACGACGTCGACATGAACATCAACGCGGCTCACGGACAGCTCCTCAAGTACTACGAGAGCATCTCCTCCAATCGGTGGCTCATGCTCAAGATCTTTGGCGTCCTCATCATCTTTGTGAGTTGATTAGATGGGATCTTTGAGACGGGTAAATCTAACCTACAGTTCCTCGTCTTCATCCTTGTCTCCTAATTGCGTAGTAATGTGTACAACAGCCTTAGAATGCATAAAACTTTATGATCATATGTCTACTCTAGCTACTCGGCAGGCAGGCGCTGGCTCTCCTTCTCGAGACGCTCGCGCTCGGCGCGCTCCTTCTCCTCCGTCATCTTGCTTCCCTCCGTCTTCTCTGCGACTTTCTCACTAGACTTGATTGCCTGCTGTGCGGCGGCCACTCGTGCAGCGCGCTCTCGCTCTTCGCGCTCCTTCTTCTCCTTCTCCTCGACTTTCTGCTTCTCCTCCGCAACCTTGCGTGCCGCGGCAGCCTTCCCCTCGGCCTCCTTCCGCGCGACAGCTTCGCGGGCCTCCCGCTCCGCGCGCTCCTTCTGAGCCGTCTTCTCCTCAAGCACGAGCACATCGAGTTCGGCGGCGAGCTCGTCCTCGTCGAACTCGGGCGCACCCGCGGCTTGGCGAGCCTGCGCGCCTCCGATCTCGATCGCGTCCGAGATCTCCTTGCTGTCGGCGAGGACGTCGGCAAGCGCGTCCGTCGTGTTCGCGATACGGTCCGGGGACAGGCGAGGATCAGCAAGCGCCGAGGCAAGAGACGATGTCGAAAGTTCATACGCGGACATGATCTGGGTGTCAGCTAAGCATCGGCAGCAACAGAGCTTGAAAAGGCCTCACCTCAGCATTGCTCTTCGCGTCGTCAATTGATCGCAGGACTGAGCGGAGCTGCTCCCCCGTCGCGATGCGCTTGGAGAGCACGTCGTCAAGACCCTTCTTGCTCTTCAGGTACGCTGCGGCGCCGGCCTTCTGCCCCGCCTTCAGCGAGCTGCGAACCTTGTCCATTGTTTTCGCGCTCTGGCTTTCAATGTCCTCGATCTGTGCCTCGACAGCCGCGAGGGTGCTCTTCACGCTGAGCGTGCCACGGTCCGCTTCCGTGATGGGACCCTCGCCGAGGCCAAGAGGAGAAGCGACCTTGATCACCTGTAGGTCAGTTTTCGGGACGTGGCTTCAACTCACGTCACCGTCGATCTGCACCGATCCTACGTCTCGCTGTAGGTACAGAAGCAGCACGTCAACGTCTCGCTTCGTCAACGGAGCTTCTGGTGCTGTCGTCGCAAATGTCTCGAGGAAGGTCGCTCGGGAGAAGAGGCAGTCACTGTGGTGCAGCGGCGGGTTGGCTGCGAGGTGTGCCGCGAAGGACGTCGCAGCCGCCTCATAGGTCGGGCGAGAACTCACCTTGACGTTGCCGACGTGGACCCATCTGCCCTGCGCCGTCTTCCAGCACGTTTCTTCAGGCGCCGGCGCACCCTTTCCCCAGACGAGGCCGCCGATCAAGCCCAGCCCTGCGCCCAGTGCTCGGCGCGCGAGTCCCGGTCCCTGCTCAACGCCAGACGTGAGGGCATTGTACGCGGCAAGCCTCATCAGCGAACGCTCTGAAGCGAGTGATTCCTTTCCGTCAGCTTGTCGGCGCATCCTTTCCAACGATAGAGGTACTTACAACAACGCCGCCGAGGCCCTTTGGCCGTCGCCCGTCCTGCGTGACTCTTGACAACAGCCCGTCGTCGACCGTGAGGACCAGTGTGTCCCTTGGCCCCTTCGATGAGGCACTGGCCAGGTCGGGCTTGAAAGCACTGCCGGCGCGCGAAGAGGCGGCGCTACCGCTTCCGTCCGCATCCCCTAGAGTACCTTCCTGCAGTCCGGCGGCGAGGACTTGGCCCCACCACGCTACGTTGCTTGCATAGCCGTCAGGGTTTGACGTCGCCTGCGCACGAGTGAATGCGTAGAGCGCGGCAAGACGCTCGGGACTCGGATCTGGCACGGGCGAGTCGCGGAGGAAGCTGAGCGGCGGCATTGTGGTTTGTGGAGAAGGAGATATGGAGGAAGGGTGACGGTGAAATGTTGGATAGTGACGTTGTTTTGACGACGCGGTGGCGTCACACAGCAGTGGCGATTGGGGCGTGGCACGGATCCGGTCCGCGACTGGTCGGTCTTTCGACGATGCACTTCCGGGACTTCTACATGCATGCAAACCAATTTACGGCTGATGGAATTGCAACGAAGTGCTCATCATGATCTTTATGCGTGACTTTCGATGCGAGAGGTTTGAAGATTGGCAGCATGTAGCACACTCTGCGGTACCCTGTCCACATCCACACGCTGCCGACGTCTGACACCGTTAGCTAGCCTAAGCTCGAAAGTGTAAACCACTTGTCAGGGGCGTGCTCTAAGGCTTCTGGGAAGCCAATGCGAGAGTAATCCAGATCAAGCCGGCGGTGTTGGCAGGTTCCATATCCTGGACCCTCGTTCGATCTCCCACTGCAGTTACTCACCTCTCCATCCCTTTACACACAGTCCATCGAAACGGACCATGCGCATCACCAATTCCGAGCCCCACCGACATCTCCTGACTGCTGCATCTGCTCTGCTCGCCATCACAGCCTCCCACCTCTCCACTGCAGTAGCGTCTTGTCGTTAGCATCATCCAGTCGCTCGCTCCGATCGACTCCCGCAAGCAGCCGCCACCCAGCCCAAATTGCTCCCGTCCGAACGTCGGCTTCGCGTGCCTCCACCCTCCACCTCGACGCGACAACAGGACCAAGAATGACGGGCATCTACCGAAACATCCACTACACCAAGTACGGCTTTACAATGGACGACCCGTGGGCAGACACGGCCGATACCGCCTCTGCTGCCGTTTCCAAAACGTCCAGCGGCCCGAGCAGCCCCGCCAGCCCCGCCAGGTCAGCGCGAGCCCCCGGCTTCCCTCCCGACAAGCCCAGTGAAGGCTGATTCAGCTCCAGCCAGTCCGGTCAAATGTCCAGAAGCGACTTCGAGGAAAAGCATGGGGAGCGACGCCACTCCTTCCTCGCCTGAGAAGGAGATGGAGGCCCTCACCCTTGAGGACAAGGCGCCGACACCGGAATCCGAGCCGAAGCAGGAAGCGAGGATGGACGAGGACGCAGCTTGGGGAGATGAGACGACACCGCCAGCAGTGTCACCAGCGCTCGCGCCGCCGGCACATGCCCCACCTCCTCTCGCTCCGCCACCAGTCAGCTTCGGCGATGACTTCGATGACGGTGGCTTCGGTGACGATGGTGGGTTCGGAGACGACGACTTTGGTGCCCCAGGCGGCGGGGACGGTTTTGACGACGACGGATTTGACGACTTTGGGGACAGCTTTGCGGAGCCGGTGGCTTCGGAGGACTTTGGCGACTTTGACGACTTCGACGAGGGGTTCAACCCGCCGCCTGAAGCTGCCGCGCCCCCGCCTCCACCAGAGATCGCGGAGCGGACTTGGGTGAGTTATGTCGCCACTTCGCAAACTGACTTCAGCACGCACTGTCCCTTCGTCCAGTACCACCACGACGAGAGCTAGCGCTCGCGATTCAGGACACACTTGGCATCTCCCCGCAGGGCCTAACGGAGGAAGAGCCGCGGGCAGTGGGTGGACTCTCGCAAGTGCTTGTGCACGAGAGCAAGTGAGTTTATAGGAGACTTTGTAACTGACTTGCAGCCGAGACGCCTATGCCCAACTGACGACGGCGCCAATGCTGAAGCCTCTGGACTGGACGCGGTCCCGGGTACGCCGCGACCATCTGATCGCAATGGGTGTCCCGGTGAATCTCGACGAGGTTGAGTCGCATCGCCTCAGCACCTTACCGCCACTCAAGATCACGACGGACCTGGCGACAAACCCACCTCCGCGCGTCAGCGAGGACAAGCACGGCTTGGGTCCCAAACCTGTGCTCAACTTCAGCAAGGCCGAGGAGTTATGCGCGATCGAGGACGACAAGCTCAAGTTGTACAGTCTCTCCAAGCTAGAGGCAGTGCAGCGAGACCTAGTCCGCGCGACGAACGAGGCGAGCGCACTGCTCGCGTACCTCGCTCAACTGAAGGACGCGAGACAGCAAGACCACGAGACATAGTGAGTAGCGAGACCATCAAGGGCTGTCCGGCGGAGGCGCAAGAGATGCGCAGCGGCGGCCGGGCTGGATGTGGCGTTGGCCTCACGCCAACGGACCAACGGGCCGGCCGGCAATGAGCCAGCGGGAATTGAGCTGACTCCGGAATCGGTGAGCTGACAGCAGCAATGGCATGATCTCGGAACTCATCGCGAACGCGGCCAAGGCCAAGACGCCGTCCTCATCCGGCGTGTTCGGGAACCGACACTCAAAGCGGCTCTCCATGTCTGGGAACAGCACGCCGCGGCGGACCGGAAGCCCGATGACGCGGTAAGCATACAGGAGCGAGCGAGCCGTGTCGACAGGGAGTGGCCGACCGCGCAGTTTGCGTCCCCCGCTGTGCTCGGCCGCAGCCGACAGTCAGCCGAGTCACTGCGTTCAGGTGTGGTGTGGCTGCGGAGGTTCTTGGACTGTAGTGCTGGGGGAGGAGCGGCAGCGAGGGAGGCAGAGCCTAGACCATCGTAGAGCATGTGGCATGTACATTCGTCTTTTTTGTCATAGCAAAGACCTACCGTCTCCTGCGTCTTAGGATGTACTGTGACTGCAACAACCAGGATCAAACCAAACGCAATCCGACATTCGCGGAGTGTCTCTGATCGGCGCCGATCTTTCTGGTCTGTTTGGTTCCCGTAGTCAGCTCCGCTATCGCACCGATACCGTTCGGCACTCGCAGCACGGCCAGTCGTAGATATGCGTCCAGGGGTACACATGCCCGTCTGACGCCTTCGCATGCTTCTCCGGATCTGAACAAGCTCAACACCAGCCTTCTCTCCCCGTCTTCACACCCAAGCTACAAATAGCACAGGGCGCGCACAGCCGAGATCTCTCTCGCCACCACTGCCTCATGATATCGGCTGCGAGACGAGAATAGCACAGAAGCAACAACGGAAAACGTATACATCAGATATTGAGCGATTTTTACAAGGAGATGAAGAGGAGATGGAGATGGATGGGACGTGTGTGAGATGGGAGGGTGGATACAGTTCTATAATTGGAAGGTGCTGACGTATCGCTCACGCCTGCGCCTTCTCGTCAACGACGACGGCCTGCTCAGCCGCGGCGGTCTCCTCGTCGAGACGGATTGCGTTGCGGCGGGCGCGCGCCTGGCGGATCTTGCGGGCCGCGACAAAGCCGAGCGCGCCGCCGACAATGTACCCGATGATGAGGTAGGCGGCGTCGAAGCGCAGCGAGCGGATGAAGGCCGTCACGGCCTCGCCGGCGTGGTCGAGCTTGTACAGCACGGCGCTGAGGGCGCGGTGCGCCGCGGCGTGCGGGTGGTGGTACCCGTGACCGTGGCCGTGGCCATGGCCGTGGTAGTGCGGGCGCTGAGCCGGCTGGGCCGCGACATGCTTCTCGGCGTACGCCTCGTCGGCCTTCTGACCAAAGATGGGGAGGATGCGCATCTCCGCGTCCTGCGGCGGAGGAGCGAACGAGCCCTCGCTCTGGAACGCGACGTCGCCGTGGTGGTGGCCCTCGTGCTTGTGGTCCTTGTGGTGGCCCTTGTGACCGTCATCGTGCTTGTGGTGGTGCTCGTAGCGCGAGACCGTGTACGAGTCGAAGCCGAGGTGAGCGAGCAGCCGTCCGAGACCGCTGGGCTGGTTCGAGCGCTGGACAGCACCGTGAGCCTGGTGGCACGGCATCATGCCGCGCTTATCGAGGTTGCCATAGTCGTGGTGCGCGCCGGCGTATCCGATGCGGATGTTCGGGAACTTCCATTCACCGTCTCCGAAGGGCAGAGCCGCTGCAGACGCTGTGGTGGCTGTCGTCGCTGCATGTTAGCGCACGCTCCAAAACCACGAAAGCAGACTACTTCCGACACCGTCATCGCAAGCCTCGGCCGCGATTGCGATGTCCTCAACAATTGAGCGGAGTCGCAACTATCGGCCGGGTGGCGAAGTGGAGCGAAGAACGCCAAGAGGGGGAGGACTCACCGATGGCGCCGAGAACGATGGCCGAGACCTTCATGGTTGTTGTGTGTCCGATGCAATGTTCGTTTGAGAAAGGCAGATGAGGGAGTGTGAAGAAGGAGGGTGTGGAATATCGTCGTGAGGGGCTGTAATGCAGGCTGGGTGGTGGTTGTGCGGTGGTAGGGCGGTCGTCGACAGTTGAGATCCCGCAGGTAGCGGGAAGATTGGGTTACGTAACAGGAGGTGGCGTCACCCCGACGCACGCTTGGTGGCCAGCCAGGGTGAGTATGATTTTAAGTTCCCACGGTGGGCAAAGTTCCCATCCTGATCTTGAGGTGTTTTGACATTGCGGGGTGCAATCTCATCGCGCCTGACCAACTTCACTCTCCCACGGCTCACTCACCGACCTGCTGCGTTCACGACGAAGGCTCGGACAGGAACGACTAAGCATGTGATCAGTTAGTCGGAAGCGTCGTGCGCGCCTTACAGGTCTTACGCTTTCTCTCGGCCAGCGCGCCCTCGGGCTCGGCGGCATAGCAGATCCCCAGAGTCGCTCGACGAACCTTTGGCACCATCGGAAAGCCTTCCGGCCCCAGCACCACGCGCTCGATCCAAACCCCCACGCCATGAAAGCTTCCGCATGTCACACATCAAACTGGCGGCCAAGACTGGTGCACCTGCCAATGCATCTGTTCCGTCCCTGCACCCCTCCGATCTCTTTGGAATGCGATAATGAGCAGCCGCGCAGATGCAAGAGCAAGACGCGCAGATGCAAGAGCAAGACGCGCAGATGCAAAGAGAGCCGGGAGGCGTCACTAGGCCAGGGTGGTCGCGCCGCCAGTGCATCCCGGAGGCCGACTGTTTCAGATAAGCCAGCGCGTTGTCTGCGTGTTTGTGGATCTGCCTATCGAAGGGGCAACAACGCATGGCGTCCGGTCTGTCCACAACCTCGATTCCATGGACCTGCCTGCAAGCATCTCTATGCGTGGTTGCTGCATACCTCTTCAGAACGCGCACTCGAACGACAGACCTATGATTAGGCAGACTCGACGCAATCTCGTGCCTGAAGCTGAGAGCGGGGCCAGTGGCGATTGGGAAGATTGTGCCCCATCTGACCGTGATCCACCTCGTCAATATGGCGTCCTGGTCTAGTTCCTCGGCTCAGACACCCACGGCTGCACGGCGCAGCCTGCTGACCGCTTAGAGCTGCGCCTTGCGCCATACTGGCTTGCGCAGCACAGCAGCTGTGCAGCATGCATGCCTCGAGAATGCTCCCGCTGCTCGCCGCCGAAGCCTCTTAACCCCTTCATCTCACAACTGGTCTTCCTTCCTCTCTCATCACCTTCCACTCACGTTTCTTCCTTGCTCAACTACTTGCCTTCCTTCTTGAGAACAAACACTCCCACTCTCATCAAGTCCCTTATATTACCCCGAACATGTCTGCGTCCGCATCGTCTGCGCCGGACAAGAGAAAGCATGCCCAGCCGCATTCTTCCCCGCCCCTCCCTCCACGCTCCTTTGCACTTCGCCTGACTTGTTTGCTCGACATTGGATCTTTACTTTCCAAGGCCGACCCCCGTTCCTTGTAACAAAGTTTCCTATACTCGCCCAACGTTCGCCACAGCTTTGATCTCCTCACACGCACTCTCTTCTTCTGCCCAAGTTTCCTGGTTCTTGTCTTCAATGCCCGCCACCACTCCGTCGTCGGCCTCAAGCAAGAGGAAACGTGCCGCATCGTACTCGTCCAACCCCCTCTCGCCTATTCCGGAGAGTCCACCCCTTATCAGCTTGTCGACACCACCTGGTAAGAGAACAGTGAGTTGCATGCTCGTTATTCTTGGACCATTGGCCATGACATGAATTGTGCTGACAATGGCAGAAAACTTACGAGGTGGCGACATCGCAGGTGGCGTCTTCGGGCAAGAGGACGATCGCTCGAGACGACGGACTCGACAACTTGAGCTTCCCGCCCCCCGTCTTCCCCGTCCGGATGGCCGCTTCCATTGCCTTTTCCGCCTGTCCCGTCTGAGGACACTGAAGGAGCCCTGGTGCGGGACATAGCGTCGGTGCTGCAACGAGCCTACGACCACATAGGGGCTCTGAGGGCTCGTTCCCACTCACCTCGCCTTCCGACGGCGACCGTCTTCTGCGCCGACGTATCTGGCCCTCCGCAGGCGCCCGAACTTGCGCAGAGCCTGCCTCAGGCTTTCGGGGAAGGGCAGAGCTCGGCGCAGGCCACCGGACGGCGCTTCGTGCGCAACAGCTTTCGCCCCGTCTCCAAGATCCCCGAAATCGCGGAGCTCATCAGCCAGTCCGCTAGTCGCCACAAGCGGGCTGTCTCAGCCCCAGATCTCAGCAGCGCTTTCAGAGATCACTCGGCAATGGGCTCGAAGCTTAAGCCTGGTTTGTCAAGACGGGCTGACGACGCACGGGAGGTCACGGACGGGAAGCAAGACGTGTCGGACAGGGCTGTAAGTTTCACCTGGCTCCACACACCTCGGGAAGACTGGCTAACAATCGGCAGACAACGCAGCGTCAGCGAGACGTCTGGAAAGAGCTGGCTGGCGAGGGCAAGATCGTGAGTAGGACTGGGTCGCTGACGATTCATTCTAACGACAGGTCACGGTAGACAAGAAGTCGGCGCAGTACAAGATCACCGCCCTCGGTCCAATTGTGCGATACTTGCGCAGCCTGGGAACCGATCCAGCCGTGACTGCTGTGGTTGTTCCCATCCCCAGAGCAGCCATGGAGAAGTACATTCAGGATCCCCTTGCCCAGGTCCATCTGAGAATGGTCTGTACATCGACTGCAGACCTGGCCATCTCAGACTTGCGCCCATCAGAGATGTGTGTTCTGGTCTCGCATCCGGTGAACAAGACCTATCTCTTTTCCATTTCCGCCCGGTCGTTCGCCAGAAATGATACTCTCGAGCGACATTGGAGGACCTTGTTCGACTGGTGCCGACGTGCACGCGAGGAAGAGCCTGACGAATCAAATGTGCGTATGCCCCCGGTGAGTAGCCACGTCCTTCGAGAGACTTGCGGACATGTGGAGTGTGGAGCACGGGGTTGCCTTCCCCGAGCAAGACTCAATTACACAGCTGACCTCCAGTCACTCTCTGATTCGGGCCTTTCTCACAACAACCCCACACGTTTCTTCTTTGCTTCAATATTTCTTGATAACACTCCCACTATCACAAAGTCACTTTGCCACAACCATGCCTGCGTCTACGTCGTCTGCGCCCGTCAAGCGGAAGCGCGCTCTATCGACCACACCTCTCTCCCCCATCCCCGAGGACCCTCCGCTCGATACCAAGAGGATCGTGAGTAGCGTGCCTGTCATTTCCAGCCCACTTTTTGGGACGCAGTTTGTGCTGACTGTCATAGAAGTCCTCGGCGAGTGGATCTGGCTCGGCGTCGACTGCCACCGAAACCCCCAGCATCGGCAGCCACAGGACTCAGAGAGGAAGGTCAATCGAGGACTCCTTTGCCGAAGCGCGCGAGCTTCTACGCCCGCTCGTTCCTTCCGCCCCATCGGCCCCAGCGCCCGTTCCGCCGCCAGTTCCGCAGCGTCGGCCCCAGCGCCGGTCCATCCGCCAGTTCCAGCGATTGCGCTTCCAGACAACGACACGGCCGTATCCATCCTCCGGGACCTGGTGCCTGCGGCTCGCCGCGCCGAGGAATTCCTGCAGTCACTGGTGGCGGCAGCAGCAGAGTCCAGCACGCCGCCTGTGGCGCTGCTGCAGTCCGACCCAGAGCCGCCAGCCACCAGCGTCAATGCTGGCAGTGTCGGCCGCGCAGCCTCTCGCTCTCGCCCCCAGCGAGTTTCGTTCCGCCCCACACCACGCCTGCTCTCGCTCGGGAACGGCTCACAGGGTGGTGGGCTACATAGGCGAAGACTCCAGCAAGCCGTCTGTGGCGCCGCTACAGTCCGCCAACCCTGAGCCACCCTCCACAACCAAGGCCAACCAAGGTCGTCCCGATGTCGCTGGCCCAGCCTCTCGCTCTCGCCCCCAGAGAGTTTCGTTCCGCCCTACACCACGCCTGCTCTCGCTCGGGAACGGCTCACAGGGCGGTGGGCTGCATAGGCGAGCGGCATCCGCCCCCTCCCTTCAGGGCCTTAAAGACGAGACGCTGGGCAGTGAGAGCCTCGGTCCTGGCCGCCTGCACGACGCGTCTGAGCCGAATAACGGGGAAGGCACTGGCACGACGGACAAGGCGAGCTCCGGGGACGTGCCGCCGCTTGCTGAGCCGGACATTGCTAGTGTAAGTTCAACATTGTTCAAACCAGCGCTTGAGTAGCTTGCTGATGGTCAGCTGGCAACCAGCAAGCAACAGCGCGGGATTTGGACGGCACTGGCAACGGGGGAACGCAAGGTGAGTCTTCTTAACGATCGTGTCAATCAAAAACTGTATCTGGTCACGATCATCTCATGTCTCAGCAGCAGACCACCCTTGCTAACGACAGGTCTTCGTCGACGCCAAGACCACGGCGCTCAAGATGACCGTGTTGCCGAGAACCCTCCATGCCGTCGCCGACCGCCAGAAGATGTCGGCGTCGGACATAACTGGGATCTCCCTGCCCTTCCCGAAGGCGGAGATGGCCAAGCTCTCCGGTCTTAGCGGAGGCGCAGTGCTGTTGCGACTGGTCGATCCGGGGTCAAGGGACCTCTCAACGTCCAACCTTGACCCCAAGATCATGTGCGTCATGGTGTCCGATGAGCGGGACGGCTCGTTCCTGTTCTCGTTTGGGCAGCGGCAGCTCAGTGGGTCTACCGCCAGGAAGGACTAGGGCAACTTCCTGTCATGGGGACATGTCGCCCGCGAGGATTCTCGAGTCGATCCCCAGCCTGTGAGTAGCGAGCTTTTGGAAGAGCGGAGATATACGGGGAAGGACAGGAAGAGCACGATGTTGCCGTTCTCCTAGCCAGATCAATCCCCGTCTGAGCCTCGAAAACGTTGTTGACATCCAGCCGACTGTCGGGCCCATACCAGCCCCACCCCCCGCCACTCGATGACGGCCTTCCTCTGAGAAACCACACCACCGTAAGTTCGATTTCTCCCCCATCAACGGACGAACGCCATTAGCACGACTCTAGCTAACACTTGCCTAAGATGTCAACTGAGTCGCACTGGACACCCGAGCCCGGTCAGTCCGGTGCTCCTGGGGGAAGCACATGGGCGACACCCCCGTCTCTCGAAGCGTCAAGTGAAGCCAGCACTTCTGGGAGGGCTACGCCGACTGGGGTCTCTGACTTCATGCGGAAGTGCTTGGACGTAGCGAAGGGCAAGGCCAAAAGCTGCCCCGCGCCTACGTCTCACACCACTTCCATCGACCCCGGCCCAACTAGGCTCACCGACAACGCCGGTGCCGAACCTGCCTCGGAACCAATGCTCTCTCCGGGCACCGTTCGACGCGTAGTCACGGCCTACGAAGGTATTGTCAACTGCGGTCGATACCAGTCGCACTAGGCTTTGCGACACGCGGGGGCCAACGCTCTCACCAGCAACTGTGCGACGCGTCGTTGATGCTGTGCGACGCGTCGTTGAGGCTGTGCGACGCGTCGTTGAGGCCTACGAGGGTATAGTCAACGCTGTCGCCGCCGCCCAACCAGTGATGGCCCTGCTGGGCTTCCAACACCCAGCATTCCCGATTCCTGCACCGATCGTCCCAGGCATCGCGGACCGACCCCTGCCATCGCTGGCTACGCTGCCCGCTCTTATGGGCGGTGGAGGTGAGGCCCACAGGGACGAGCAGCTCCCCGACACACCGTCGGGCGACGACGGAGCGACATGTCCCTTACGATGGCCTATGGACATATCGGCCCCGTCCCCGAGCTGGAAGAGGAGTCGTTGCACGAAGACGACTCAGTGGGCGAGCTCGACTTCATGGACGAGGAGGTGGTCGACACGTCTTTGATGGGACTAGAAGTGAGTACTGTTGTATTTCCATCCACTTTTGAATGTTTGACTGACTCCACATAGGACTGGACCGAGGAAGACTCAGACGCCGAGGGGCTGATGCCGGGCTGCCAGTGCACATCGGTGTCCCGCATCAGGCGTGTAAAGCCAGCAGACAGGCAAGCCGATATCTCCAGAGCTTCACTCGCTGGCGACCGAGATGTGGGTAAAAACTAGTGACTGACATTCTGACGACAGGGCCGCATCGATCTGGGCCCCTGCCAACATCGCTCAGTGCGGCATATTCCGACCATGCTGCGGGTCGCCGATTTGATGCCTGGCGTCAAATGCAACAAGCAGCTGACGGTTCCCCTCCCCCAAGACCAGCTGTACCGGTACTTTTCCCCGGAGAACGAGTACACCTGGGTCAAATTGAGGGTCATAAGTCCGGACCCGTCCTACGACCCGGCCGCCGTGCGCGTCGAGGTCCGAAGGATCTTCGGCGGTCACCTCTTCACTTATGGCCAGAACGATCTCGACGCCGACAGCCAGGGCCACCTCTGGCTGTCATTCTGCCTTTGGCTCAAGCCAGTCGGATCGGATCTGGCAGCCGCCGAAAACCCGGCAACGCCCTCCGCCTCCTCCCATGCCCCTGTCCACACCCTCGCTCTCCCTTCCCCCCCTTTGCTTGCGGCGCCGCGCGGAAAAGATCCGCCGGTCGCAACCCCGGTCAAGACTCTCCCACGCCAGCAGCCTCGAAGAGGCGAAGGCGAGCGTGACCTTGCCGTCGTGGCTCCGACATGAAGATTTGAGACACCTTGAGTACACATGACTTGTAACTTGTGAGATAACTGTAGCACTAGAGGGATGCAGACAGTACGAGTAAGCATGGAGTGTCATCGAGCGTTATCAGGGCGAGGATTGTGGTGTGAATAAACAGCCAGCGCAGAGGTACCACCATACCACGGAATCTCGATCGATGGCGCCACCCTTCGCAGCCGTCAATCTCGAGCCGCCGCGGCCGGTCTTAACTTCAGCATACAGTAGGCATGATTCCATAGTTTATAGACACTGTTCTCTTCATAACAGTTGCCCTCCTGTATACGGGTTTTGCAAAGTTGCATGCCAAGTCTGCGAGCGGTAGCATCAGTAGGCGATGTGCTCACATACTCTGCATCTTCAGGTTGGTCAGGCATACTGGTGATAAGTCGGTATCCTCTCCTCAGTTGCACTGTACTGTCCGCGTCCCATGTATCTTCCAGTTCGGCCCAGTTGTACTGGTGACAAGTGCCAGTGGTCCATGTCAGTTCATACGTCCTGCTTTGCGTAGTGTTCATTCATGCGGTCCGACTTGTTCGACTCATGTGTGACATCTCAGTTGCATATGGAGGTAACGACCGCAGCGTCGGGGGCTACGGGGGTCGACAGGGATCAAAGCACGCCCCATTCCCTCATCCTTTCCTCCGGAGACGCGATGTAGCAGAGAAGCCGTGTTCTCCGGACTTTCCGACGTCCGTTCTCCGACTCGCCGGCCGAACGCGGCCGGTCTTGGCCGCTGTCAATTCCCGAAAGGCCACCAGATTCGTCCGATACACACAAACACACACACACAGATATACATCTGACCCACACATCCCGCATCTCTGGGTCTGCGTTGTCTCACCCACGATATTCTCCTGTCTCCGAAGTCAACGGAGACTGTGCTTACGACGCCCCCTCTTCTCGTAACTGTCTGACAAGCTGAAACTTGTTTCGAGCCCATTGTGAAACATGAAGCCCTCAGGGCCTGCAAGATCATGGGCTATGACATCACTCCTCCCTCCGGATCCCTCCCCTCCCACCCATGAATTGTTCCTGCTTCCAGACTCGTCCCATGGACCTCGTAAGCTGTGTGCGGGACGTTTTCGTCGAGTTCCTTCAATTCATTCGAGCCTGCGCGAGCCTCACACCAGACTACGCGTTGTTTGCTGCCCCCTTCCCAGAGCTTCCCGGACAGTCAGTACAGTGAAGGATTCGCTTGTGTGGACAAGATTCATGCGGGCTTGATATGTAGCGTTGGTATAACGGCTTTAACAACAGATGGGGATGTACATGGCTCGTTGCTGAGCGGACAGGGACATGGGATGTTGATGATACAGGCGCGGCTGGATGTAGCGCGCGCACATTGATTTAGTAGGCAGTGACGAGCAGACTCGCGACATTGACGATGCTCGCTGCGCTCGCGATGTCGTGTGCTCACCACGCCTCGCCCACCTCGGCCACCTCCTCCAGCGGGTGCTCCGGCCACTCGTCGTCGTGCAGCACCTCTGGCGCGCCCCAGCCCTGGACATACTTCTTCGGCCGGGGCAGCGCCTGGGACGAGGCATACTTCTGCTCAACGAGGGCGAGGAGGGCTGCCGTGCCGTTCGGACGCATGGTTCCGATGGCCGACGCGGGGCGGTCGCCGAGCGGCGTCGGGGTGACGGGGGACGCCTTGTCGTTTGTTCCGAGCGAATGGCGCGCGTACGCGTTTGTCGTCATCCGAGCAACAGGTAACGAGGGGCGTTTCTGGAGCTTGCGCTGCGGCGCCAGGCTCTTGCGGCTCGCGATGCGCGCAACCGTGCGTGAGAACTCCTCCTCCTCGGACTCGGAGCCGGACCACCCGAGGCTATTCGAGGGGGCCTCGTCGAGCCCGCCCTGGCTCAGACCGCGGGTTCGCGTCTTGGTCACGAGCAGGCGAGAGGACGAGGGGATGACGTGCGAGCGCAGAGCGGCGTTCAGAGGCGGCAGCGTCAGGCGTCAGGTCGAGGTCGCTCTCATCGTCGGACAGGCCGAATGTCGGGCGACGCGCAGCACGGCCCTTCAGCGATCCAGGGGCGCTGCGGGGGGCCGAGCGCACGAGGTCGCCGAACGTGGGCGACGGCGGTGAGGGAATCCGGGCTGGCGTCGTATGGATCGCTCCGAGTGATGGGCGGGCTCGTAAGCGGGGTGTCGTCCTCTCCTCTTCCGGTTCGGGAGACCGCGTCATGCTGCGTTGCATTCGCAGATCGGCGAGAGAGTTCTGGAGGCGAAGGAGACGCTCGGCCGCACGGGGTGTCGGTAATGGTGGTGCGTTGAAGGACGTAGGGGCGTGCTGTAACGGCTCGGATTGTCGGTGTCTGCGGGATGGGACGCGGGGCTTTACGGGTTCTGTCACGCTGCTGTCTGTGGCAGACAAATCAGCTTCCCGCACTCGCTTCTCCTTCAACGCATCCATCTCGGGCACGTCCGAGTCATGCATGCCGCTGTCCACACCCCACGGTGTGGCGAGATGGTCCTCGAATGCTTGCTGCTCGTCCTTGCTAGGGAGGTACACCTCGTGTGGTGACTGAGGCGACAGCAGCAGCGATGTCATTGAGGGCGCCGTCAAGGTGGAGGCGATCGATGCACGGTGGGCGTTGATGAGCGATGGGCACGTCGAGCTCCAGGAAGGGATCGGGGACCTCGTCTTGCCGCTACCCTTGCGCGACGAGGTCTGGGAGATTTGCGAAACGGTGCGCTCGCGCCTTGAGGGCACGTCGACCTGGCCAAACTCGGACACAAAGTGACCACTGGGCGCCACATGGTGCTCTTTGGTCGTCGAGAGGGGAAGAGGCACGCTCGTTCGTGCAGGCGCAGTCACCTTGCGACTCGTCGACCATGTGTTCGGTGCTGGCGGTGGGACAGACGTATCGCTGAGTCGAGCGAGCGCCGACGGCATCTTCGGATACCGCAGCGTCTGGGGCCGGAAGGCGTCAAAGTCGTCGGTCGACAGCGCTCGGGACGACGGGGGTAAGACAGCTGTCGAAGACGCGACGCGTTTCAACTTGGGCCGTGGCGCAGTCGAGGACACGGACGCACTGGACAGCTTGGAATACGCGGACGTCGGAGTGGTAGCCTTGCGGGCGGCAACATCGTCGCCGCGCGATCCCCGTCGTACCGGTGCAGACGCAGACGAAGCGACGCTGACTGTTGAGCGGGGCCGCGAGGCTTCGCCATCGCCGGAGACGTCGACTTGCTCGCGGAAGGACACCCGGGACCGCCTGGTTCGTAGCCGCTGACCGCCCGAGGCGGCGACAAACGTCGTGGTGGCTGCCGGAGCGGACCTGCGGTTCGAGCTCTCATAGTTGCTGCTGGAGTCGAGGGGGAAGGGCGGTAGTGGCGGGAGGGGAGGGAAAGCAAAGCTGCTCGCGGTTAACGCCATGCTGCCGTTGTCGCCGCTGGTCTTGTTGTTGTTGTGACTGTGAGAGATGGGCGTCGGAGTCCACGGGACATGGGTCGAGTGGCCGATAGGGGCGGACTTTGGCGCCGGCGACAGCAGGGACTCGGAGGGGAGTGTTGGGAGGGAAGGTTTGCGGAGGATAGAGACTGGCTTGATCGTGTTCTGGTGGCTCGAATGGGAGTGGAGGGAGGTAGTTGACGACGAGGCGGAAGGGATGAAGCCGAGAGGCGTAGGGGAGTTGGCGATCCGTGCGGTCGTCGAGAGGGAGGGTAGAGATGACTTTTTCTGAATCTGGAGAGAAAGTCAGATTCGATGATCGCAAGAAGAGAGTGGAGGAGGGGCGTGGTGAGAACCGCAGTGCGATATGAATTGGGCGTCGACTTTGTTGCACCACTACTCAATCTCTTGTCGCCGCTGAATGCAACCTTGGCGCGTGGGACTGACGTCGGGGGCTTGAGGCTCGGAGACACGAGACACGGCGTCGCGAGGGGGGAGTCGTACGTGCGTCAGGTCCGAATGCCCGCAAGCCCGCGAGGTCGACCAGGTCCACAGGTCCGGCAAGGGAGAGGACTAGGTTTCCCGCAGGTCGGTACTGTGCGCTGCGAGGACCGAGTTCAAGGAGAGTTCAAGGAACAAGTGACGCACGAGCACCCGGCACCCATGTGATGTGGGCTGGGCGCGATGCGAGTCGGGTTCCTTGGAAACCACCGAGAAGGCCAGTCGGAGCGGAGCGTAGCGACAAGCGAGAGTGAGGGTGAGAGCGTAGCGGGACAACAAGGAGAAAGCAGTGTCGTGCGATGTGGAGTGTGTAGTGCGGAGAGAGTGTGGAATGTCACGATGCGCGCAGAGTTTAAAGGGGATAGGTAGACAAAGCGACGAGATGGTGTTAAAGAGAGTCTAGCCGTGTCTGGTGGCTGCATGAGCCTGGCTGCACATGGCTCTGCATGGCACTGCATGGCTTGTGATGGCACTGCACATGGCTTGGGACTGAGAGGGCCAGATAGCCGTCGCGCCAATTCAAAAGCGAGGAAAAGAAAAATAGCAGGCGCGTCGAAGCGCCCAATCGTCCCTGGAACTCCTCCTGGAGAGATCGGAGACACCTCCCTTCAAGGCAGACTTTTCATCGGCGTCCACGGCGCTGCATTCAACACCTGGGAGTAACCTGGGTGCGGCGTTCGTATGCGGCGCAGTGAACGCCGAGAGTCCATGCACATTGACGCCTCTGGCTTGCAGAAGAAATGCAGTCGGCAGGGAGTGGATGCAGGATGTCCTAGGGTCAAAGAAGACCGAGACAGTGTCTCACCAAGGACTCGTGAATGTCTCGCACCCATCGACCCCCAACCACCCCCTTTTCGTCATTCACAGCCGACATTCCAGGCCACCTGGGGCCTACGTCCGACTCTACTCTCCACCAAACACCGCACAGCTACCACAGCCGTCTGATATCATCGGCAGAGAGCGGCGTCTGCGCCGCCCAAAGCCAACAACAAGCCGACAGAACAGCCACGAGCCACGTCTCGAGCCAAAGAATGACAGAATGGCATGTGGAACCGAAGTACGCATTCCGCATCGTCCGAATCGTGCCGCAAAGTCTGACAAACAACAAACGAGAATCCCGAAGAAGGAAGAGGAGAGCACACGACCGAAAAGTTTACTCACCTTGCGACTATATCCGTAGTGACTCGCGGCCAGCGTTGCCGGCCCGGGGCCCGCCGTCGTCTCGTGCATTGCTGTAAGCAGTTACTTTGACGCTGCGCAGTCGTGATCGCAGGATTTCGTGTCGCTAAGTCAAGGGATGGGCGAGGGAATTCGAAGGGGGAGGGAGGGACACAAAGGGAAGGACAACAGGGCTGTCGGATGTGGCTTGCGTGGCTTGACTTGGGCTGGCTCGTATTCCTCTTGTCCGCGTGCCGACCTGTCGTTTCTTTCTGCTGCCGACGTGCCGGTCGTCACTGGCGATGTCTGGTGCGATCGATGCGAGCTAGACGTGGAGGTGCGCCGCGTACGCCGCAGTGGGTTCGAGACCGGGTGATCGCCCTAGACTCTACTCGCAGTGGGCTCGGTGACTAGCCGTATACACCCTCTTCGTGTTGACGGAAGGTCGGTCAGACGGCCGTTCTGTCTTGTTGTTGGATGTCGGGCAAAGTCGTCTTGTGTGGTGCGAAGGCTGCTTCTTCAGATATGATATGCTGTGATGCCTCCTGATCGGGTTCAGGTACTACCCCAAAGGAGATTGCGCTGATTGCAGATTGCGCGTGACGAGATCGGACACACGCCGCAACGCGCACAGATCGCCTGGCGTACTGGCGTTCCGGATGGAAAGAGGCGTCAAGAAGCCACAGCGAAGCTTAACTTGAACTGCGCATGCAATGCACGGGGTTGACAGACTCCACCTGGTTTACGTGCGGGATAACAATAGAGATCGTGGACCTGTCGGGCAAGTCGGATCGTGCTGGCGGGTGAGGTCGGTCTGGCCAACAACGATCGTAGTCGATGCTCGTGGAAGTGAACGTCGACGAGAGAGAGGAGTTGGACAACGCTGAAGTTGGAAAGGAGTCTAGACAATCAAAGACCCCAAAACCAACGCGAAGTCGACGAGGAAGAGTGGGACGTGAAGAGGTGGTAGCCGTAGCCGTTCTTGGACGCTGTCTGCTAAAGTCGAGACCGAACGATCTGCGCTAGTCGTGGCGGGCGGTGATCCGTAGCGCTTCTCGTGTTGTGTGTGTGTCGGGATGTGTGAGGGAGCAACTGCTGTCCAGTGCAAGAGCAATGTCGCAATGTCGAACGCGACTGCGTGCAGCGAGGATAGGCAGATGGTGAGAAGCAAACTCTAGCTGGACAGTGGTAGCTGCATGAAGGCACCTGGAGACCGGAGGCACCTAGACGGGAGCACCAGCTCGGAGAGTTGAGGTACGCCTGCGCTCGAGTCTCTTGGAAGGTGCAAGGACAGATGCAGGGCCGACTGCAGGGTGGCTCCCGTTCTGGTAAGCTGGCGTCGAGCTCGGGTGTACGAGAGGTGAGTACCACTTGCATCGTTGGGCCGCTGGGACGCAGTCTCCCATCCTGCATGTCCTGCAGTCTCCTGGTTCCTCGTCCTGTGCCTGCTCCTAACCTCCTGGACAACTCCTGCAGTCGCGAACTATCCTGCTCTGTCTGGGGTCCTCGGCCCACGTTTCGTGGCTACGAGACTATGATGACAACAACTCGAGACGGACTGGGGCAGAATGCCGGAATCGGGCCTGATCCAGGTCGTCATCCTGCATGCTTGATTTGCGCGGTTTACGTTTTCCTCCAAGAAACCCTAAGGGGTTACGACTCCCGCGCACATTATTATATGGTTAACCCCTCGCTTGTTCCCTGGACTGGCCAGCAACTACCCTGGCGTAGCCCGGCAGAGGAACTAGGGCAGCCCTGACAACTGCATCTCGCAGAGCCAGTTCGACCCAGCTCGTGGGACAGACCCGCTGCATGCCGCTGGCCTCCAAGCACAGGCCCCCGAGCCCCCGAGCCGAGCCGGGCAACAGAAAACAAAGCCTTACGACATAGGACGCAGGCTAATTGCGCCGAGGTGTCCCGCTTACAGGTTCGTTTGGGTGTGGTATGGTTGACCGCGAATGCGAATCGGCGAGTTGCGAGATTGCGCCAGATGCGAATGCGACCAGCGTTACACTGTTACAAGGGCCTGGCTCCTGGTGCCACTGCGCCGGCATCTCTGCGCCTGGGCGAGCGTCTCGTCGGGCGTGTCGTTTGCAGTGCATTAGCCAGCCTCTCGCTTCTACCAACTGCATGCGTTCGCTGAGATGCCCGTCTTTGCGCGCGGACAAACGTCAATAAGCAGACGGCAATGGGGTGGTCACCGTACTCCCTTGATCGGCCGGCAAGGCGAGCGGAAAGGGCGACATCCCACCCAAGAGCTCGGAAACACGCGGATACGCTGAACAAGCTCAGTAAAAGGGTTGCATGCACTTTTGACGCGCAGGCGGCCGTGTGTACAGTGCAGTGGGTACCTTTGCATACCGCGTGCTTTGCGCTGCGTGCGGTGCAAGAAATGACAGAGCCCAAGCCACTTCCGTCCCGGCCATTCAGTAACCCTGGCGCTGATCGAACAAGTGGGAGCGGCTAGGCATTCCAGTGTGCTATTGACGTTTGCTGCTCTGAGCCCAACCGTCCACTCGCATGCAAGTTTTCATGGCATGCGGATCAGCACGTCAACACCCGGGTGTTCGAATGATGCGCTAATGCCGAGTGTTGAACGAGAACGGGGCTGTTCAATATCCATCGCTCGGGTGTTAACTGACGCTTCCTGAACTAAAGCGCTCATGAAGTCAGCATGTAAAAACAAAGGGACCCCGAAACTCGCTGGAAACTGCGATGCCGTCATGCCATGCTTGTTATTGGTTTGGAACAGCGTATCGAGCTGCTCTTGGTCGGCCTTGGGCTCTGCCGTGGTCGGCGGTGGTTTGCCGTGGAAGGGTGCCGTCACTCGTGGTCATTAACCCTCCCAGTCTCGGCATGAACCCATTGAGCATCCCCTGGCGGCCTGGCGGATCGCATTCTAGGCAGCGGACCCAGCGCGATCTGACGGGCCAGTCTCCAGTTCTTGGTTAAGTCTGTTTGCGATTAGCTAGCGAGGGGTGGCTTCTATTCCTGCATCCTGGGTGCAGTCGGCTGCGACCCCGACCCGAGACTACGCGGGACCACCAGAACTACGAGAGACTATGAAAGCCCAGACGTAAGCAACAATTGCTTCCAGAGCACACTTGGCAGACTACCAGCCCGCTCCGGGGCGAGTCAGTGCGTTGAGGATGGCTTTTGAGGTCTTCAGGCCTTCAGGTCGTGGGTGGTACTAGGCTTGGCTCGACACGCTCTCAGCGCGATGTCCGTCGGATCTACACACGGCTAAAAGATAGCACGAGCAATGGATCGCCAACTTCGGCCCCTGGCGGACCTGGCGGAGCGTGTGTCTCTGTCATCGGCGCGCGTCGAGATTGCCCGGTACAGTGCGGCGAGCATGTCAGAACTGTCTGGAACCACCGATTACTTGAAAGCAAGCCAGAATTGAAGGCCGTTGAATCGGCCTGAAGAGCCTGTCTTGTGGTTACATCATTCACAGGACAATGCGGCACCCCCTCACTCAGGACGCGTCAGGATATCGCCAAAACGTTCAGGAAAGTCAGCTAAAAAGGACCGTTTGGGGGCGCGCTTTGAGTTCATCGTTGCTTTGATGCGCCTGAATAGGAAAGTTTGCGTCCTTGATTGACCACCCTTGATGTTCTGTTATTCGGTTTAGCAGCAAGACGCTAACGGCTGTTGAATCGAGTGTAACAATACGATTCGTCTCGGCACGTTGCCCGGCATCCGGCAACTTCGGCGTGGGTCGTGCGCTAGCAGTTCGTGGGTTTGCTGGCTGCACAAACAAACTCAGAGTCGGAGTGTGTTTGTCGTCCTGACCACGAGCTTCGACACTCCTGGCTTACAATGAGGACGACAACCAGGAGAGCTTGGCGCCGAGGCGCACCTTTGCGCAGGGTGTCACAGCGAGAAACGTAAGCTTATCTCTGCACACCCTTAGGACAAAGTTGCACGCTACCGTCTCCCTGGTCTGCCTCGGACACAGACTCGCCCGACAGGACGGCCGCGAGGTACGCAGAGGAACGAGCAGGAACGAATCGTGACCTCCAGATGTTCGTCGCAGGTTGGCACGTTTGGACGGCTTCCAGACTCGTAGACTTAGCAGCATCAGACGACGTCAGCAACGTCAGACCAGCGCTGACACGCGAGGGGAACACCAACTCCTCCTCCTGCTTCGTCGATGTCAGCCGAGCTTGACGTCGCTCGTTAGTTGGCGTGGTTGCCAAGTCGATCTCATCCAACCGACGGACTGGTGGGCGACAGACCTGCACCTGACGATTAGAGGACACAGTTGATCGAAAGCAAAAGCCTGTCACCTGCGCCACCGCCACCAGATCGAGCTCACATGCCGCACACGAAACGGTTGCCGTGTACCCCGCGTTTGTTCTGGCAGCGCGTCGATTGGAAGGTTTGCTGTGCGCCGATGTGCTCTATGTCAAAGCCCCGAAAATGTGCCCAGTGATCTCGTTCGCTACTCCCGTCTCGCTTGACCCACACGCCACGGCGAGGACGACACAAGTTGGGCACGATTCATTACCTAATGCGGGATGCAGCAGGAGCCAGGTCTGTCACCTCATGTTCGAGGAGTAATTAGGGATGAAGGACGGTTGGACGAAAGGAGGCGATGGATGGTGAAAATGCGCACTGCACGCGACGCGTCGAACGGGTCTTCACGGCACGGCACACACGCCACGGTACCCGCGAACCTTCCCGGGTTCCTTGCATTCACCTTCACCTGGAGGTGTACATGGCATGGCTCCTGCTGCAGAGACCGTTACGCCTCGTCCTTTAAGTGCGTCATTGCGGGCCGTTGGGCTGGTGGTTCCCGGTGCACACTGCACCAAAGGCAAGCAAGGCACATGCACCGAGAGGATCTGTCGGAGACTGACGAGAACGAGCTCGATCGACCCACAAGATCTCGGCTTCCGAGGGGTGTAACGCACAGTGTCATGCTTTGTTCTGTTCATGACTTCTCCAGAGTTCATTAATCTGGTCGTCTGCCACGCCCGCACTTGAATGAAAGACATGATTCAATATATATGATGGACGGGAGTACGCCGTCGTTTCCAGCGCTGCGTGCAGCGTCCGAGGCTGTTGCTTCAACATTGGGCAGAGTGCGGAGTGCATCGAGCGTCGCACGCTGGTGGCGTCTTGGCCCTGGGTAGCTGTGGGTCGCACAGTCGGAGGACTCTGGTGGAGTGCGCAGCGCGTAGAAGAGTACGCATGGGAGTACGCCGCTCGGAATGTCTCGTCCAAAGCACCGAAGCGCACGCAGCTTTCGACTGAGTAGGCATCCAGCACTGTGGTGCGTGTCTCAGATGTCTTATCCAGCAAATGACCTCCATGTGCAAGTCGTAGGGCGCCACGCTTCCCTTCGCGTGCCGGGGAGCGGGTGCACTTGGACGTCGCCCTCTGCGTTGGGCATGTGCAGATGGGAACAAGTACGCCTAGCAGACACGCCTCCCGCACAGCATAGTGTGCCTGTAGCGCGCGTCTGATAGAGAGATAGACTCGTTCACCCGTTACTCAGCCCGAGGCATCGAAGACTGCAGGTATGCACATATGGCAGCGGCGCAGCGGGTAGAGGAGGAGTCCCGGCACATATCTGGAGCCTACATTGCGTTCCGCAATGTTCGGAGATCGTGACGGGGCTGCCGGTGCACTTCCGGCGCCGGTGAGCACGATCGACTTGCGTTTGGGTTAGAAAGGAGACCCATTCATCCAGTGCTTTGTCTGCTCCCTGTTCTGCGCGCAACGCTGAGTACCCGCACTGTGCAGTTGTGGCTCGACAGGTCCACCTTCCGCATGCAGTTGATGACGGTGAACATTCAGCTGGCCACCCAGACGCGAATGTTGTGAGGCCACCTGATGTGAGAGTCTAACGTTGCACGTCAGCAGTCAGTGCGGGACACCGCAAGCTTGGCTGCGTGTCTGCAGAAACAATGCTGAGGACGCAGGGCTGTATCCATCTCGGACATGTTGCAGTGGACTGGGTGGTCTCATACTTTACCACGGGAGTTCGGGAGGGACCGTGCAACCGCTCCCAGCGGTGACCCACCGGTTTCGAACTTTCTCACGAGCGTCCATGAGGATTCGGTACAACCGTTCTAGGGGTGGCCTCCTCCTATGCAATACTTTCCCACGGTGTGCATGAGGGTTCCGTCCACTCGTCAAAGGGTTCCTGTCGCACTTTCCCACGGTTGTACCGCCATCCCTCCACCTCCACCAAGCTGCTCCGATCTTGACATCATCACCGTCAGCTGCCAAGGAGCGGTCTCAACAGCGGGGTCTACACTTTTATTCACCTTCCTTCTCCATCTTAAGTTTGCGCAACAGCTCGACCAGCCCACCAACCTTGAAATATCACCATGCCGCGCAGAAAACCTCACTCTCACAAGGAGAAGAAGGCGACGCTCCAGGCGAACCGCGCTGCGAAGCGGGGCGACTCGCCCCCGCCGCTCAAGACAAAGCAGGCTGCAAAGAAGACAGGCCGCTCGGCGTTTAACGCCCCCGTTCGCCGCGGCATCACCGCTCTCGAAACCAAGTTCCTCGCCCTGCCGAAGGGCTACGCTGAGCGCACTCGCAACCTGGCATGGAGCGAACCTTTACCGCGCCCTCTGCCGCCGAGCTCGGCTGTGTTCGATGTTGGGCTGGTAGACAACCCGGCAGGATACGGGCTCAGCGTTCCCAGCCGCCCCAAATTTAGGTTCGACATGACGAAGACGCAGCTAGAGAAAAACGAGGAAGGATTGTTCAAGAAGTGGCTCGAGAAGACCGGCGAGATCGTCCATGACTGGGTCGATGGAGGGGAAGAGCAAGGGACCGTCCGCAGCCCGAACTGGTTCGAGACGAACCTCGAAGTCTGGAGACAGCTGTGAGCTTGACCCTCAGTTTGATCAGCTGACAACAGATGGCGTGTGAATGAGGCATCAAACTTGATCCTCTTGCTTGTCGATTCGCGTTGCCCGCCCGTCCACTGCCCGCCGTCACTCCGAACGTACTTGAAGAAGCAGAGGAAGGAGGTCATCATCGTCCTTACGAAGGCGGATCTTGTCGACGCCGACGCGCTCGAGGGATGGAAGAAGTGGATGAAAGAATGGTGGCAGAAGGACACGCCGGAGCCGCCGAAGCAGTCAAGGAAGAGGGTCGAGGAGAGCAAGGAGGACACTGAGCAGGCTGCTGAGGGAAGCAAGTCTCCCGCCAAGTCGCCTGCCGAGAGTCCCCTCGACACGCCTCTCTCTAGCAAGCCCGGCTCACCTTCTCCGGAGTCTCAGGCGGAAGTCCCGCCGGTGCAGGTCGTGAGCGTGACAAGCTACGACCTTGACTTGCTTTACGCCGAGGGCAAGCACAAGATCCACAAGCCCCTCATCGGTGACGATTCCCGTCTTGACCTCCTGAACGCGATAAAGACCGTGCACGAGCGCCTTCAGCAGCCCCCCGCGTGGGTGCAGAAGGACCCAGCAAAGCTGGCTGAGTGGAAGCCTCCTATGCGCACGAATATCGACTGGGATTCGCTTTCGAAGCCCGCGCCCGTCGCCAAGCTCGGCAAAGGCAGCAAGACGAAGGAGGAGCGAGCGCGCGAGCGGTGGCAGAAGGCCCTCAGGCAGGAGAAGGACTCGGACACAGAGCAGGAGACGGAGAAGGATGAGACGGACGGCGAGTTCTCCCGTCCCGACCCTTCCACATTGCCGCTGACGATTGGGTTGATCGGCCAGCCCAACGTCGGCAAGAGCTCGCTTCTGAACGCGCTTCTCGGCAGCACGCGAGTCCGCGCCAGCAAAACGCCAGGCAAGACGAAGCATTTCCAGACAATCTTCTGGGGCAGCAACAGGGATATCAAGATCGTGGACTGTCCCGGTCTCGTGTGTCCATCCTTGGTTCCAATGGAGATTCAGGCGATCGCCGGAGGTACGTGACATCTATTAGCTAGAGACCCCATTCGGCGAAGCTGACAGCCAGTTCTGCCCATCGCTCAAATTCCCTCTTTGCCATCCTGTATTCACTTTGCGGGCAATCACCTCCCTCTCGAGACGATTTTCAAGATCCCCGTTCCAGAGGATGAGGAGGATGACCATGAAGCGAAGAAGACGTGGCGCGAAGATGCGGGACGGGGCGAGCGCCCTCCGCCCCAGCCGAAGAAGGCCCCCGAGATTACGGCAGGAGAGCTGCTTGAGCAGCGTGCCGTCGATCGAGGTTTTGGTATGTCTCACGACCTACACCATCCAGATCTTCAGCTAACTCGACAGTGACAGCCAAGGGCGGACGACCGGACACGAACCGTGCCGCGAACGGTATGATGCGAGCGCTCGCCGACGGAAGGGTTCGCTGGGGATTCTGGCCCTCAGGGGGAAGTGAGGAGGGCAAGGGTATCTGGCTCGACAGTACGCCACTCGAGGAGCGCGAGGACGGTGAGGAGACACGCCCAGCTAGTGAGGCGGAGAACAGCGACGAATCTGAGGAAGAGGAAGAAGAAGTCAGCGAGGAGGAGAGCAGTGAGGAGGACAAGGGAGGGTTCAAGGCCGCAAACAGCGCAGGCTTCTTCGCCGCCCTCGACGCTAGTGATGACGAGACAGAAGAAGAAGAGGAGGAAAGCAACAGCGAGTAAAGTAGAGAACGTCGAGCGCAGATGCATATATTCAAACTCACCCTTTGCCGCACGTAATCTCGCTTGGGTCGAAATCGAAGCCGAATGCCACGTGACCTCATCGCCAGGCACGGCCTTCGAACCTCCTCGCGTCATTCCACCGACCTCGATCGGTCGAGGCCTCGTCGATCCCAGCCTTTCTCCATCATCCTCCTGCCTTCACCTTCAACTCAGCACGATGCCGCCCAAACCTTCGCTCGACAAGCTGCTCCCCCCCATCCTGAACCTGCTCCGCGCAGACCCGCCAAACCCCTACTCGGCGCACCAAAAGGCGCTGACGACAACAGCGCGCCTGGTCCGGAATGGGCAGCCCGAGCTGGCCTGCGAGATCCTTTTCAATGTCGCGCGCGAGTTGCTCAAGGCGGGTGACACGGCGAGTGGTGCCGAGCTCGGCGTTCGCATGATTGAGATCATGGGCGAGGCTGGCGTCAAGGTCGACGATAAGAGTCGAGGTGAGTGCTCTCGCCCTCATATGCTCCGTCAATCGCGCGCGAGCACCCTGTGAAGGACGGCCAGCGAGACTGCACTTCCCGACGACGCGCAATGCGGTCGACGTCTCGGGCGAGTTGAGTTGCACAGTGCGGCCGACAAGTGCTGGAGTAGCAGCTGTACCGGTACCGCTGATCCCAGCTAACGAACAGCCTCCGTCACTCAGCTCATCGCGCTTACGCCGCCGGGGCCGTGGCGCAAGAAGCTCTCCGATGCAGCCGTCAAGTGGTCTTCTTCTCCCGACTGTCCCCCCGGTGATCCCCAGCTGCAGCAGTATCTCGGCGAGCTGTCCTTCAAGGGTGAGTGATGCTAAGCGAAGGCGGCGTTCGTCGGCTTCTTCCGTCGCCATTACCCCTCTTTGCCTTGCTCTGGGGCTCAAAACGCACTCTGCACGGCAATTCCGGGTGAAGTGTGCGAGGAAGAGGGTGAAGTGTGCGAGGAAGAGCCAGCTGTCCGGAATCTCATTGTCACCGAGCTAACTTTCAGACGGTAACTTCGAGGTCGCCGAGCCACACCTCCTCGCCTCCGGAACGCGAGATGCGGCTCGCACGCTCGCTGACATGATGTACGCCTGGTCCTCCGAGGGAGTTGACGGTCCCGGTGCTGTGGGCAACTACGCCGTGCGCGGCGTACTGCCTTGGTTAGCCGTCTCGCCTCCGAACCTGCTCGCGGCATCGACCTTCCTCGGCCAGTTCCTCTCGCTCCTGTCCTCGCCCTCGTCCAAGATTGGATCCGACTTCTTCATCGGCGCCGAGGGCGGTGTCCAGCTCACGACGTCGTCGACGATCAACTTCCTCCAGCTCGCTGTTGCCACTGTCCAGCGCGCGCCGAGCCCGGGAACGAGTCCGGTCCAGGCCCGAGGGACGGATGGGGGCGTTGCGAAGGAATGGCAAAGCTTGCTTCACCGCTACCGCAGGCTGGCAGGAAACAGCGGTGTGCTCGCCCAGAAGGACGTGCATGAAGTGAGTTGTCGAACTTGGCAAAGCGCGCTTTCAGCTTTAGGTTTTTCAGAGGAGCTGACGCCCAGTGCCTTGAGGCCATCTCGGCCAACATTTTCCTCATCCCTCAGCGAGGCGGCAACGATATGCTCCAGAACCTCATGGGGAGCCTGTTCGGTGGCGGCGGCGGTGGTCTCGGCGCCCTCGGTGCGGCGCGATAAGCCGGCCCGCCTCGTTTGTCAAGACTAGACTACAGAGTATGAAGCGGAAGAGTGTCAATTGTCGCATGCATGTATGATGGAAGTTTAGAACATCCGTGCTATCAATGTGTTTCCCGTCTCCCTTACCTTTGCCGCTCCTGCTCGCCTGCGGCTGCCTGCTCCATGGCCTTGATTGCTGCCTATGCTACTGCCAGTTTGTAAGAAAGTGGTCTCTGTGCCAGGTAGCCGCCCGTGAAGATCGAGTCACCGACCGTTCGTCCACTTTGATCCCCGGCCGAGCGTCGAGCACCCTTGCGCTCCGGTATATCGGTCGACCATGCCACGGAGGAGCAGTGAGGTGGAGATCGTGAGAAGTAGAGCAGCATCCAGTCACGAGATGAGAACAGGCACGTGGGTGAGTGACAGGAGATAAGAATCAGAGTTCGGCGGCCGTGTTGCGTGACTCTGGTCCTCCCACACCCAGGACTGGGCAATGGCGCAGAGGTGGGTTGTTTAGCGTCAGAATTTCCGGCATGTTGTGCTTGCGAACAACGCTCGACCGAACAGTAGAAGGCTTGGCACGACGCTTCTTCAACCCAGCACGCACACAGAAGGTCTTTCCCATGCACTCCCAATCCCTCTCGTGCACTCTCATGCAGCACGAGGGCAAGGGGTGACAGGCGCGGCGTCCCTGGCGCACCGTGATGGATTGTTCTGAGAGGGCCAAATTCGGCAACGGACGAACGTGTGAATGAGACATTGCAATTTGGGGGCTTTTCCAGTCGGATGACCCGGATGACCCGGAGGTCAGGACGCCTGGGAGGTCGGGTTCAGCACTCCGAACCCAGCAATCCAGCCATGATCATGGAGCAGGTGACGTACCCTTACTTGGTATAAAGGGCCGAACATCCATGGGATCCACGAGTTCTCCCCATCCAACGACTCTAGTCCGGCGAAGGACTGGATTGACAGCGACGAAAGACACGGAATCGCGGCCGGATAGCTCGGCTTCTTGATTGATCACTGATAACGGTGAGTGACATCAGCGTGGGGGCCCTGCTTGTTGCTCGCCCCTCTGTCCCCGCCGAGGCACAAGCCGATTGTTGACCTGGCTGACACCAGATGCAACTCTTGACACTCTTCCTGCTTGCGGGCGGTTCGCTGGCCGCACCGCACATGGAGCACGAGCTGCGCCAGCTGACGCACCCGGAGCTCAGCAAGCGCATCGACCCCTCGGCGCACCGCGACTTCGATCTCGACGCCATCCGCAAGATCAAGAACGTGCAGCTCGGCCCGCGCCCGTACTACCTCGTCGATGACCTGGAGCCCTCGCCCCTCAAGGACAAGCTCCAGAAGTGTACCGAGAAGCCGGCCAAGACGTCGCACTGGAGCATCGGCCACCGTGGTGGAGGCACCCTCCAGTTCCCCGAGCACACCGTCCAGTCCAACCTTGCCGGTGCGCGTATGGGTGCTGGTGTTCTGGGTGAGTAGGGGCTTGCGAGAGAGTGGCGCTTGGCGGAAAGTGCAGATGGACTGGGCGTAGTTGCATCTGGGCCTGTGCTTTGCAGTGCAAATTCTGAGCTTCAGCCGCAATTAGAAAGTGCGGAAGACGATAGCTAACGGGCAGAGTGCGACGTTGCATTCACGTCAGACCTCGAGCTGGTGTGCCGTCACTCGCAGTGCGATCTGCACACGACCACCAACGTCGTTGCAACCGAGCTGGGCAAGAAGTGCACGACGCCCTTCCAGCCGGCCACGGCCAACTCGACCGCCAAGGCCCGATGCTGCACCTCCGACTTCACGCTGGACGAGATCCTCTCGCTCTGCGGTAAGATGGACAGCTTCAACGCCTCCGCGACGACGCCGGAGGACTACCTCGGCAACGTCCCCGCCTGGCGTACGACGCTCTACAACCAGTGCGGCACACTGATGAGCCTGAAAGACCACATTGCCATGGTCGAGAAGCTCGGCCTCGAGCACACCCCTGAGCTCAAGCTTCCTGAGGTTCCCATGCCGTTCAACGGCGACTACACCCAGGAGAAGTACGCCCAGCAGCTCATCGACACGTACCGCGAGTGCGGCGTGAACCCGAAGAAGTTCTGGCCCCAGAGCTTCCACTATCCCGACGTTGTGTACTGGATCAAGAATGCGGGCAAGTACGGCAAGCAGGCGGTGCTGCTCGACGAGACGCTGCCAATCGACCAGGCCGCGGACAAGATGACCCAGTACAAGAAGGACGGTGTTAAGATCCTCGCGCCGCCCACGCCCTACCTCCTCGACGTTCAGAATGGCACCATCGTCCCCTCCGAGTACGCCAAGAAGGCCAAGGAGCACGGGTTCGACATCATCACGTGGTCGCTCGACCGAAGCCCGCCTGTCAAGCAGGCCAAGGAGACCAAGGACTACTACTACGAGACCTTCCTCGATGGCCTCCACCGCGACGGCGACCTGTATCGCGCCATTGACGTCATGGCTCAGCAGGTTGGCGTCAAGAAGATGTTCGCCGACTGGTCTGGAACCGTCACGTTCTACGCCAATTGCTTCGGTCTCAAGTGAGAGAGGGTCGTGGTCACGGGAGATATACATGGTTGAACAATGAAAGAGATGCGATTACGGGGATCCTGTGACTTGGTGCTTACTATGTGTGCGAAGCGTTTTGATGACTTGTGACATGTTTTGATGAGAGAGAAAGAGAGACGTTGGTAAACAATTGGAACAAGCGAGCGGTAAGAGAGTGAAGAGGTGCAAGCAAAAACTCATGTCGAGATGTTGAGGAGTGGTGACAGCCCAAGTGGAGGAGGGCGCAGAGCACGGACGGTAATCGACTGCGACAGACGCAGATCACTGATACCCAATTGCCATGACGCATTCTCATGAGACAGTTGCTCGCGAGATTCAGACTGGCCCTTTTGCTTCGAGTCCATAGCGCGATCAGGCGAAGAGAGTCTGGTAAATGCGAGCATGCCAAGGCTTGTTGCGACGGGCAGCGCGCATAGCATTCAGTTCGTCCGCCGTGAGCCAGATCTTGCGTCCGGTCTTGAGGTCGATTTCGGAGGCCCTCCAGAACTTGGTCTTCTTCCAAAGCCAGAAGCCCGCCCACATGAGGATGAGGATGGGCACGCTGATGAAGATCATGAAGAAGTACTGGGCGCGCTCTCCGGGCGTAGTGGGCTCTGAGCCGTCGTGAACGGGCCACACGGCGATGTAGAACTGCGAGATGATGATGAGGCTCACAAGAGTGGCGCCGACAACACTGCCCCACATTCCACCGAAGGCACGGAACGGGAGCTCATCGACCGAGTGACCCTGCGCCTTCCACGCTTGACGGAAGCGGATGTGCGTGATACACACGGCCAGCCACGTGAACAGTGTCGAGAGGCCGGAAAGGCCGATGAGCCAGTCGAAGACCTGCGTACCGATGTCCGGGAGCACGTTGATGTAGGCGAGAGGCGAGAGGATCATGACAACCAGGATACAGAAGAGGGGGCGGGAGGACTTGTCGACGTAGCAGAAGATCTTGGGAAGGAAGCCCTGGTTGGCGAGCGACAGCAGGGGTCGGGTGCCGCCGTAGACGCAGGAGAGACCCATGGAAAGGACGGCGATGAGAACAGTGGCATTGACGAGGTGGTCAAGACCCTTGATGTTGGCCCTGCGCATGAGGATGACCATCGGCGAGCCATTAGCCCCATCGCCCTCGAGAAGGAGGGGCTCGTTGTAAGGGATAGCGAGACTGATCATGAGAATGACGACCAGGAAGAGGATGATTACACGCCAGATGACGCCCTTGATGGCGCGCGGCATGGAGTTCATCGGGTCGGGAGTCTCAGACGCGGCAAAGGACACGAGCTCAGAGCCCGAGTAACTGAATGCCGCCGTGACGAAGACAGTGCAGACGCCCTTGAAGCCGTATGCGAACGCGCCTGGATCGTGCCAGTAGCGAGCGCCGACGTAGCTTCCATACTCACCCGAGGAGGGTCCTCCTCCACAGACGCAGACGATGGCGACGAAAACGAAAATGAGAATAACGAGGATCTTCAGGGAGGACTGCGCGGGTCAGTTTGGAACATGTACATCGAGACTCACGGTCCAGAACTCTTCCTCCGCATAGCCCAGAGTGCCAAATAAGACACCCAGAATAATAATAACCCAGAATATCGTGATCCAGGCGGCCAGAGGTACGGGGTTATCCCAGAACATCACCGTAGAAGCCGCTACAGTCAACTCTAAGGGCAGCGTACACAGCCACTAATTTCGTCAGCGGATTTCTCGATGAAATCTCGATGAAAACACTCGCCTGGAACGCGTAGTTAAAGCCAAGCGCAGCACCTAAGGATGGATCAAGAAAACGACAGACGAGAGTGAAGAAACCGCCGTCAACGGGGTAAAGAGTGGAAAGTTCTCCGAGCGCTTGAGTGATCTGACGTTAGCCACTTGCCACAGAAGCCAAAACGACCTCCACCTCCACCTCCACCGGTGCCTGGTGCCTGGATCATTTTGATTCCGCTCACATTGACGACCATGAAGCCCATGATGAGCCAGCCGAGGACGATACCCGCCGGTCCACCAGTCGCAAGCGCACCACCCGTTCCGACGAAGAGACCGGTTCCGATGGCACCTCCGGCCGCGATCATTTGCAGATGCCGCGGCTTCATCTTCTGTTGCAGGAGACCATTGTCGTACAGGTCGAGTTCGATGGGGATGTCTCCGTGGGTCACGATACCCTTGGTCGTTGCAGGGGCGGGCTTGAAGCTTTCAAAGTTCAGGCCGAGACGCGTCCAGATGCTTTCGAGGGATGGATCATAGATCTCCGCACTCGTGACCTCCGTCTTGCCGGCGGCCGCCTTCTCGTCGTCGTACTTCGACATCGTGGTGGAGGGACGACCAGGTGGTGGGCCGGTGTCGTCCGGAAAAGTTGGTTGCGATGGAGAAAGGTTGAGATCAGAGATGAGCGGACGAAGATCAGTAGTCAGGTCAGAGTCAGGCGAGCCAGAATTCTCAAGGCGGCCTGGGCGTCCGAGAGCAGTCGGGGCAGCTCTGGCTTTGCCAGGCGGTACCGTGTGCAGGCGGTGGGGCTCTCCGTCTGATGCAGGAGCACCGTTTGACTGGCTGGCTCCGGACCCAAACGATCGGATAAAGGTCCGGTAGCGGCTTGCCGAGACCTCTTTCGGCTGATAGCCAGTGTGACCAGTGGAACCTGCCGTAGGCCGTTGGAGCAGCTTGGACGTGCCGCCGGTGTTTCCGAACTGATAAACAACCTTGGCAGGGTAAGGGGTGGCTCAGGGCGCGTCCAGAGGCTTGGTGGAGATCTCGCGTTCTGGGCGCCGAGGTCTGCTTCTGGCGCCAGAGTATTTTCGGTCTGGACCACTTGCCAAGTTATCAGACGCTCACCAGCGTGGTTCGCACAGACCATGCATCACAGCACACACACAGGGCAGTGTGAACATCTTGATGGAAGTCCACATTCTTGATCCAAGGTTGGCAGGCTGTTCGTCAGCATCAGTTGACATGCCGGCGTTGACTCCGGCCCCCTGGTTCTCCACATCCCCTGACGGGCCTGACGGTGGAGTCCCACCGCTCACCTGCCCCTACGGCTGTCGCCGAATTACGAGCCAACCACCGCGCAGGACGAGAAGCTGCTCCGTACTCTCCGCTTCTGAGCCATTCAGAAGGCCGGGTGCGTACAGGGTCAGCAGCTCTGCAGATGACCTCTTGCTCTTCCCTGTCATATCAGCTGTCCGTTACCTCAGGGTGCTGTGTCAGAGCTCCGCCAAATCGGGTGCAATCTAGTACGGTGATGGGCACAACCACAATTCCACAACCGCGCTCAGTGGATCAGTGGACTGGGCCTGTTCGACGCTTTTGCGTTCCTGTCGTAAGTGCGAGCGAGATATGGGTGTCAATACGTCAATCTCTGGTACAAGATCCGTGACCGAGTTGTGAGGGCTCATGCGTCGTTCGCACTTGCCTCCACCCTCCCACGAGGCAACGATCTGCGTGAGAAACAACCTCAGACACTGGTGCAACGTTGTCGCTCTCGACAGTACCTCAAGCACCGAGTCATCTTAGTTGTTACAGCCGCGTGCTCCCCGGCTTCAGCAATCGATGATACTGTACGCGGGCTCGTTCAGTCGTGATACGCCTGTCGTGCCTCTCTAACTTACAGACTGCACGAACGCCAGTGCCTTTGAAACCTTTCCGGTTTCGCAATTCTGATCAACTTGCAGTGAGAGAAGAACACCAAACATTAGCCCTTAACGGACAAGTATTGGCCCAACACGAACAAGGTCCGCCTGCACTCACTTACTGCTCCCAACTCTCGCGGGACCGAGAAGCGCGCCCCGCCCTGGGGGTGTGACGACCAAGTTTGCACTGACGGCTTGGGGAGCGCGAATGGCCAAGGGCTCGATGATCGGTGAACAGGGTCGTAGGTATCGATCGAAGAGGCGACACGTCGCAGCGGCAAGCCGGCTGAGTGGATCTCTACCCTCATGCAGTCATCAAGGACAGTCTGGGCCACGCATCTCTAGGGCTGACTCGAGCCACGGCTGCAGGTCGTGCAAGCGTGCTTGGAGGCCGCAACGCGGGTCAGCAAGCGTAGCCTTGTTCTTCTGATGTTGGGATGGGCGATCTGCGCGCAGTGCCGTGGGCACGCACTACACGTAAACTGATTGCATTACTGTTACATTCATGGTACAATAGACTTGATTAGCTCGAACTTATACTCGTAGTCGCGAACCCTCTCCTCAAGCTCCCGCACGCGCTCCTCGGCCTTCTCCGCACTCTCCCTCCAAGTGCTGCACTCCGTGCACTTGGCGCTCTCTTCCCTCAGCTTGGCGGCCAACCAACGACGGGGAGCACTGGCAGGGGTTTGTTAACCTTGACCAGCACAGGGGTGGTGCTCGAGCCGATCTTGGCTACCAGCACTCGGGGGGCTGGAAGAGTGACCTCAACGTAGTTGGTGGAGTCGTCGGCGTCGGTCACGCGGGTCACGAAGGCGTAGGCCTTGGTAAGGTCGAACCGAAACTGGCGTCAGCGTGGACCATGAGAGACACACAATTGCCATTCACCGTACGTACACCGCTGCGAAGCTGGGAGAGGATGAGAGCGTGCTGCTCCATGGCCCGCTTCGACTATGAGGCGTCAGTGGGCTGTTCAACTGGGAGCTCGATCGAGGGAAGAACTCACCAAGTTCCGGGGGAGATGCACTTCGAGGGCGGCAGGCGGTGGGGTAGGGGAAGTGACGTTGATGGGCGGGGCACGTAGGTGACCGGGGACGATAGAGAGGAGCTGAATGGTGCTAACGTCTGGTGCGGAACACGACGGCGCACTCCAGTCACTTGCGGGGAGGAGAAGAGAAGCCGGTTGGAGTGCCCTGATTGGAGGTGCCAACGACGAAGTTGAGTGCGAGCGAGCATGCGTGCCGCCCTTGGAGTGGGGGTGGCTCACCACACGAGGTACAACCGCCGAAGAGGAGGAGGCTGAACGGGGGCGCTTGCTGCCATTCGCGCTTGCCGGAGAGGAGATCGGGGCGGCGCCCTTGCTTGCCAAGCTGGTCCCCGCCGCCGCCGAAGGAGAGGCAGATCGTATGCGGCCTGCAGCATATATGACATGTGTTGCAGGTCGCATACGAACGCCTGCCAGTGCTCCTCGTCGTCGGGCGACCCGAGCTCCCTCAGACCATACTCCCCGAGCACAAGCCCTTCCGTGGTCGAGAGGGTGACCAGGATCGTGTCGGGGTTGAACTCGGAGAGCTCGAGGTCTTCGGTCGCGGGGTCACTCACCTTGGCGACGAGGTTCCCGTCGGCTGGCCACTGAGCGTGGCGCAGGACGGCCGGAGGGACTGGGAGGAGCAGGTACTCCGGGGGAGGAGGGGAGGGGGGCAGCAAGGTGTCGGCGATGTGATCGAGCACATCGGCATTGCGCGTGACGCGCAGCGACGTGCCGATCAGGTCTCGCGCGCCAAACTGTTGTCAGAACGGAGTCACAAGGCATTCGGCCCACTCACCACTTTGCTGCCGGTCACGAGCGCGTTGTAGATGTCGAGGAGCTCACGCCGTGCCTTGGCTACGGCTCCGGCCTAAGCGTCAGCGAATCTGCTCAACGGCGAACTTGATGATTTCCTACTCACGTGCCCTCGACCGATCGTCGTCTCGATCGGGTCCGAATCCTCGAACCACGTCTCCTGAATGTCAGCGGGCCGCTCAAGGAGGACCGTCACTCAGTACTCACCTCGTCATCGTCCCTATCCTTCCCCTTCCGCTCATCTCCCTCGCCGTCCTTGCCGACCTTGTCCTTGTTGATCAAGGCCGACAGCGTCCTCGGAAGCCGCCGGAGCCGAGTCAGGATCGGCGTGCGGCGCGGCGACGAGACAGGGCTGCTGGAGCCTTGCTCGACAGCAACCGAGTCAGCGTTGTCGGCGGCGCGCTTGTCGAGCCTCGATTGGCTGGGACTCGACGGGCGGCTTGGAGGACGAGGGCGTTGGGCGGGCCCTTTTCGGGGGGTGGAAGGGGGTGGCGGGGCGGTCGTCG